TATGTTTGAACAACCAAACCTCCAATTTACAAAAGAATGTAACTTAGGGACGATTTCTCAATGTTTGAACACACATAAATCTGTCATGCTAACCTCTAGAGCAGCGGTGGGCATGTCCTTGCTCGTCTCGAGATGCACAATGCTGCAAAAGAGACAGCCCGAGAAGAGTACAAAAAAAAAACCCACATATAAGACGTGTGCATGACGCGGGACGAGATGTTCGCTGATCAGGGATTTTTTGCTGTTTCTGTTCCTGTTCCTGCTCATCGCTGCTTTGGAGGAATGACATGCTGCGCATAGATGTGAATGGCACAATGCAAAAACCATCTTTCCAATTGAGAAATAGTACCTTAAACTAATTTAATCAATGGGTCAATTAAATATTAAGCAATTATATGCAGAGCTATGCATAGGTCCCACTGTAATGTACATGTACATTAATGATCATCAATCATTCCCTGATTTCTCAGTGGAATCTGAGATTTAAGGATGTCTACACCTCTTTGTTCCACATTCCCAAGCATTAAACTCCACTTTAACCTGGGATCTACATCGAGTCTTCCGCGTTTTCTTTTCACAAATGTTACCTATTCTTCATGTAGTATATATAGATCATCATTTATACCAACATCTACCAAAACATTAACTAATAATCTCTTGGGGATCACACGCACATATGCTCATGCACATACGATCATGCAACTGTTAACCGTCCATATACTAATTAGTCGTAGAGCAGAACAATCGTAAACCCCAACACACAGAAAACCAGAAATCCTTAATCTCATTACCTTACTGCATAAAAGTCCTTCACTCTCATCCACAGCAAAATTCATCAGCTGCTCATCGGGCGGAGGCGGCGGCGGAGGTGGAGGCGGAGTCTCGTCCAGCAGTCTGACTGGAGGAGCCAATGCCTCGTCCAAGTGGCTGCTGTCGCCCACCCTTGAGATGTCCAGCGAGGAGAAGACATCGCTGATTAGCAAACTGAAGACAGACTCGGAATGCGGACTACTGGTGTGCGGCGGTGATGGCTCCAGCAGCTTTGTTAAGCTACCGCTGGAGGATCGCAACAAGTACGAGAAGCTGAGGAGCAATGATCAACCCACTTCCGATGATTCCGACTCCGGAACGGAGTTCTTTCAGCAGGACAGCGACGAAGGCGGCGGAGGCGGAGGCAGCGCCAAAAAGGCGGCTCTCTTCAAGCAGATGCAGCTGGTGACCAGCAACATACCAGAGACCATCCACAAGATCCAGCAGGTGGCCTACCACAAGGTGGACAAGACCTCCAATCTGCCCATCGTGAAGAAGCTGCGCCAGACGACCAAGAAGCCAACGACTGCTGCCCACCAGGCGGCCCAGCAGCTCAACATTATGGCCGCTGCAGTGGCTGCCCAGGCTCAAGAGGCCAAGGCAGCCGAGGCAAAAGCAGACTCTGATGGCGACTCAATTGGTTCCGCCAGCGATCTGCGAGCAGAGGATGATGACCTGTTCGACGAGAATCCGCGACAGACACAGACCAAGTTGCGTCGCCCCCTGCCCATGGAAATGGATGGCATCAGCGAGAGTGTCAAGACATGCAGCAGCTCGGCCTATCATGCCGAGTGCGAGAGCGTGACCACTCACGAGGATGATCGGAGTCGTGTGGTGGTAAAGGTGCGGTTGAGGAAGAAGGATCGCACGGTGGCGGCCAGTGGCGATCTCGCTGCTGCTGGCCTGGTCTCCGAGGAGCTAAGTCCCACGTCCAGCGATCTGTTGCACAAGTTCGGCGATCGTCCGCTGCTCCTCGACGACGAACTGGACTATGGCTCTGGCGAGAGCAAGAGCAGCAATGAATCTCTGAAACAGCAGCAGCAGCATGTTGCATGTGGCGACGACCAAGACTTGGATGTGTTTGCCATGGCTCCGTTCAAGCTGCCCGTGGGCGTGCCTCTTAAGCGGAAAGCCAAGCCCAAGCCGAAACCCAAGCCAAGTGAGCCGGAAATGTGGACTTCTACGCCGGTCAAGGGTCAGGGCGGCGGAGGAGATGGCAACCAGGCCAATTTTGCCAGCTTTCCAGCCCATCTAACGCCGACGCCGCCTCAACGGGAGACCCAACTGGACGAGTTCAATGAGCCTGTCTTCAATCCCTTCCAGGAGTCGGGTGCTGTGCTGGTGCAGCAGCAGGAGGAGGAAAGTAATCAATGTGATCTCTTTGGCTTGGAACCATTCCCACAGGTAATTCGTAAATGTGTTGATGTACCTCCACCCGTGGAACAGAACCCGATACCGCTACCGCTGTCAATCCCGCTACCGGTCCAGATCCAGCACCAAAACCAGCACCAGATCCAGCTCCAGCTCCATCACTTTCCCAGCCACAACAACAACACCAACAATAATAATAATAATATCATCAAAGTGCCCGCTCCGGCGTCCACTTCTGCCACAATTTCGGCCCCAGCTACAGCTTCAGCTTCCGTATGTGCAGCACCCCAACTGGTGACCATAAATCACTCGATCATTATCAATAAAACCCCAGAGCCACAGCCGTTGATTAACCACAACAATAATCATACGAACAAGTTGAGCGGACCAAGCAGTGTCTATGTGAATGTGCCGTCCTTTTGCACCAATACCCAACCCCAGCCCATCTCTGTGCTGTCCATAGCACCTCCGATCGGAGCAATAGCAGTACCGATAGCACCTGTTGCGCCAGCTGCAGTCTCGGTTTCGGTACCCGTGCCGCACCTAAGACCTTTGCTGCCCATCGCTGATAATGCCTATGTGCAAATCTCCCAAGATCGCTGCTCCGACTTTACGCCCGATGACGAGGAGGAGCCCGTGGTGTTGCGTGGTGCCTCCGATATGGTTGCAGACATCGCCGACATCGCTGCTCCCATCGCTGCAACCAAACCGAAGAAGGAGAAGTCCCATTTGGCTGTGAGGGTGCTACCGGGAAAACTCACACAGAAAGTCAAGGGTCACTCGTACAAGAAGGTCAGCGCCGCTGCACTGGGATCCACCAGCTCCCTGAGCTCGGGCAGCAAGCAGAAACATCAACGTCTCCAGTATCAATCCCATGACGACGATGACGATGAGGATCAGGACGAGAATCGAGCCGCAGGCAGTCTCAATTTCCAATCGAACACCATTCAGAGCTCGGCCAAGACGGGTTTCAGCAACATGAGCTTCGAGGACTTCCCCTCCGACCAGGAGATGGATCGTCTGTCCAAGACCATACCCTTCGAGGTGGTGCGCAATGAGAAAATGCTGCTGGAGGCTGAGAAGAAGTTCGGGTCGCTCAAGCGACGCAACAATCTATTTTCCTAGACAAACAAAACTGAGGAGGGACGGGGCGGGACCCGACCTATCCCGAATCTATCCTTATCGATAGCGGAGGAGTTATCAGCGAGTGGAAATTTTTCGAGCGAAGAGACCTTAGACTGAGTGTTTCCAAAATATTTGGCATTTTGTTTTTGCTTTTCTATGTTCGGTTTTTGCGCTGGTTCTTTCGAATAAGTTTATTCAATTTTTCACCGTTTGTTTTCGTGTCTGTTCAATGAAACAACTCTAGTTTTGGAGCCTAGTATTTGCGACGGTATTTTATGAGATCTAGAGACACAAATGTTGAGAATGGATCCAGACAATTACAATACAATACAACATAATATCTACATATAATTGTTATTTAGTGGAAAATGTAATTAGAATTAGCCCGACTATAACATGCGGATTATAAGGCAACTAAGAAAGTGGAAATGTTTTGAATTTATACAATGCGTAAGTTGTACCAAAGTTACATTTATTTTGTTTTTGCGTGTGGCATTTTCAGCATTTTGAAATTCCCCTGCTCCCCTCACCCATTATTTATTTATACAAGAAAATTATGTGATTATAATCCCAATAACCAAACCCAAAAACAACAACTACAACTAATTAATTATCTATTAAACAAGCAACATTCATTTAACCCCAAGGTATTTAAGGTTAATATTATGTATGTATATTCGACCCAATATTGAACAACAAAAACATACTTGAATATGTTAGTACTCGATTTGTTTTGCATATGTATTATCTCCGACTATATAAAATATGCGTACTATATTTATATTTTAAATCGAGTGTTTTATTTGTCCTTGAACTCGGTGCAGAATATTTTGGCCTCGGCTATTAATCGGAGGCCCGCTCACTGCACGCCCCTTAGTAGTATTATATTTTTGATAAATGACTAGTGGGAGGGGAATATTTGTTAGTCCACGAGAAAGTATATTAGGACCAGCACCATCTCAGAAACACTAAAGCAATTTTCACTAATACCCCCTCTGCACTTGTTGCCTTGTTTATAGCTCTTCCGATGCCTGAAATCCTATACCATAATTGTGACATTTCTAAACATTTCCTATTTACAAGTGTCCTGCAATTTATACTGTATCTCTTAAATGGTATGCTTAAAATTTGATCATTGACTGTCAAGAGGAACAAACAAACCTTTACTGTTAAGCGGCAATAAGGTGTAGGGTACAGATACTGCTAGATATGAGGTGATGTGGGCCTTGACTGTTGGTGGGAAGGGGAATCTCAAGTGTAGGGTACACACAATTTCAGCCTTCACTGTTCAGCCAAAGGGTGTACATATGTATGTATTCCTATCCACAAAGAGAGGTTTTCTTGTGGAATATTCCAACAAGAGAACAGGGGCCGGCAGCGTTCTATGTTCAGCGTGTAGGTGAGTGTTCTGCTGCTGCACTGCCGCTTACGTACACCTACATTGTATGTACATATGTATATTACTGTGGTTGTCACCAACACATTGTTCCGTTATGACTGCTGGCACACACACAAAAACAGGTGCAAATATGCGCGCCGACCCCAGCCGACCTTTGGATAAGCATCTAGATCTCCACGTCCCACTTAATTTCTCTGCTCGTCTCGTCAACCATTTGTTGCTATTTTAATACTTTGTCAAGTTCTCCCCTTGGATAAACGGTAAACAGAAAACAGCTGACCGCCGCATCGTGTATGTGTGTGAGTGAGTGGAAGAGAATGAAAATTCACATAAGATAAGTTGCCAGCACAAGCGAAAAAAGGGAAGAACAGAACCAGAAAGTATTCCAAAAGCAGAGAAACAACACAAAACGAAAGCGACAAAACTCAAAATCTCACGTATCAGAGAATATCATATAAAAAGTATACAAAAACCAGGCAAGTAAATGTAAAAGTGTTGCAATATTAAGCGACAACAGCACCGCTGCACTAGTCTAGTAAAGCTCATCACGTACGCCAAGAACAATGTATGCCTTCGAGGAGGAGAACGAGAACCAGAATCGACCGGAGCAGCCCCGCGTGCTTGTCAAATGCGGTGGCTTCTCTTCCCAATTGGCGCACAATGTGGATGAAAAGGTGGACGGCGACCCGTTGTGGGGCTCACGTTTCGATGCAACCAATCCGCAGGCGGTGATTAAGACGCACCTGGACTTTCTGCGCAGTGGAGCTGACATCATATTAACCAACACCTACCAGTCCAGCGTGGAAGGATTTATGAAATATCTGGCGCTCACACGGGAACAGAGTGTGGCCCTGATAGAGAAGAGCGTACACCTGACGCAACAGGCCAAGGCGCAGTATTTGAAGGAGATTCTCCAGTCGGGCGAAATCATTAAACCCTTTTTCCCCCTGATCTTGGCCTCGATTGGCCCATATGGTGCCCATCTGCATGATGGTTCCGAGTATTCGGGCAGCTATGCTGATAAGATAAGCAAGGAGAAGCTCCAGGACTGGCATCGCACACGGATTGAGACCTGTCTGCTGGCCGGAGTCGATGGCTTGGCCGCGGAGACGCTACCCTGCCAACTGGAGGCACTCGCCATCACTGAAAGCATACTCGAGAACTATACGAATGTCAAGTTTTGGGTATCCTTTCAGTGCAAGGTGAGTTGTGCTTTGGATTGATTTCATTGATTTTATCGCTCACCTCACCCTTTTGTATGTCTACAGGACGACACCAGTCTGGCAGATGGTGAATCCTTTGCAGAGGCTGCTCTAGCCGTCTGGCGTATGGTGCAAGCTTACAAGGCACAGACTCGCCTCCTGGGCATCGGCGTTAACTGTGTGAATCCCACCTTTGTGACGCCCCTCCTAAGATCTCTCAATGCAGCCGCCGGCTTGGATCGCATTCCGCTGGTTGTCTACAGCAATCGTGGAGAGATCTACGATAGTGTACGTGGCGAATGGACTGGAACGGGTGAAGATGTGGCCAAATTTGTGCCCGAATGGGTACGACTGGGTGCACGCGTTGTGGGCGGCTGTTGCCGGGTCTATCCGGACGATGTGCTCAAGATCCGCAAGTGCGTTGATAGCCTCAACATCGGCTACAGCGCAGAGTCACCGCAATCGCACATTGTTTAAATTGATTGTTGACTTTTGTTGTTAATGCGAAATGTGGTTTCATGTTGCTAGACCTAGACCTATTTAGTTTGCTAAATACATCTATTTTTGTATACTATGTACTCGGGAGATGTTGTGCCTAATCAGCTGCAATGTACCGACAGTGTGTAGACAGAAGTAAGTGGATGCGAGTGCGAAACGACGACGCCAGATTTATAAAGATTTAAAGGTACAATCGTGAATGGGTAGTACACTGGTTGTCGCCCAATCAAAATCTGAAAGATTTCGACTATTTATAATCGGAATATTATTACTTTTTGACTCAATTATGTTACCTACACAAAGTGTGGCTGATTTAGCCGTGAATATCATTATTTTTTTAAACTCATTTTTCTTAAAGCAAAATATTACCATTTTTCCTAATTTTCTTTAACAAATGAAATCTATTTTATAATCGATAAGGAATAATTTGTAAACATCTCAGTTAATATCATATCTTTCTAATAAAAATGTTTAAATCATCAACGAAATGACTCAAAAAGTGGAAGCATTTATCGAACAAAGACGAGTCTAGCATCAATCTGTCTCTTTATGCACAGGACGTGTATTTTGTTTTTTCCCTCATGGGCATTCTCTTTTGGACTTTTCGCTTGTGCGTCCGAATGGCTTTGTTCTGAATGACATGAAACTCCTCTATACCATAGGCAACTCCAAGTTTCACCAGTTGGCACTCCTCCCGTTTCTGGCCACCGTCTCAAGATTGGGCAGAATTTAAAATTGAAAAAAGAACATTTAAAATTTTGTATATTCGATCAAAATTGGTTCAAGTATTATGTTTTGGCACGGCAGCTTCTATGTCAGGATATACCTTCTAGTACCCTGTGATCCATGTCCAAGGGGCAGAGTCAACCAACAAGATGTGACTGATCAATCCGGCACCAACTGGTGCTTAAGTGACCAAAGGTTATCGAAGAGGCGTCGTCTCAGCCAAGATGCCAGGCAGACCGCCTGTGGTCCTATCTCTCGCGGAGACCACGCACTGTGACGATTTCATCAGCCTTGTTCGGGAAGAGGTGTCTACCCCGCGGATCGGATCGGATCGTTCTCTGGACTGTTGTCTGGCAGCTGTGACTGTGCACCCGGTGCCGGCGGCAATTCCTTATCAAATCCAAGCACTTGCCCACCAGCGTACTCGTAGTTCTAGACCTAGCGCACAAAGACACAAACCTACATGCATATACAATGTGTTTATTATTTTTTTGTGTATTTTGCTATGTATTTTATTTATTTATTATTTTTTGCTGTGATAAGCGACAGCTGAGCCAGCAGGCAGCAACCAGCGGGCAGCCAACGGGCGGCAGATAGCAGGCTATAAAAGCTTCCAGCCGTCACTGTAAAACACTTAAACGCTCGACGAACATACAGTGGAGTAGATCATATCCATAGTTTGAACAGACGACAAAACAACAGCTAAATACTTGATTACAGGCCAGACAGCGACTTATCTAATAAAGTTGTTATTGAATTGAGACATTTACAAGATCTCTACAAATACGATTTCAAGGTGAGTGAGTGTGTGGGACGATGTTGTGTGTTGTTTGTTTTCTGGTTTGGACTCCATATTAATTGAAAATCAGCTGCTGGCGATTCACAAGTTGTTTATGCACTTAGCTTCCTCAAAGTTCGTTGAACTCGAACTTCTACTAGTAATCGAGCGATAAGTACAGTTGGCGTTGATGCAACGGATGTGTTTGCTGGTCAATTATTAAGAGAATGTGGCAACGCCAGCAGATACATTTATACCGTTGCAAGGGCAAAGGATTATCAAAGCTTTCTGCTGAATGAAATTGAACACCTTTTTGCTGATCCAGATCGGTGCAAAAAACGGACATCGTTGTAAGAAATGCCTATGGCTAATTCCCTAATTGTTGTCGCTCTTAATCTTAATTGATTGATCTGACGGTCGGCCCCTAGCAGATGTCAAGGCTCACATAACTGAGCTGCCCCCCAGCTGGACACAGCTGCAGCTTTTGTTGATTGCAGTGACGCTGTAAGATGGCTGGTCTGCTGGTCCTCCTTCTTATCAGTAGCAAACTAAGTAACACTTGATTAAGTATCATCCCACCCTTTCTCTGCCTTTCAGCTCTACCGTGTAATCATGGGTCTGACGCGCGTGCTGGTGAAAGATGGCGGTTTTGGCACACAGATGACCGTTCATGTGGGCAACTCTGTGGATGGGGATCCCTTGTGGAGTGCCCGCTTCAATGCCACTAATCCGGCGGCCATAATTAACACCCACCTGGATTTCCTGCAGAGTAAGTCGAGCCGACCCACCGATACTCAATTAGCAACAAGATTTAATTTTTGTAATGGCCAACAGATGGGGCTGATATCATATTGACGAACACTTATCAGGCCAGTGTCGAGGGTTACATGGAGTATTTGGAACTGGACGAGGATCAGAGCATCGAGCTGATAAGAAACACGGTGCGTCTGGCGCACATAGCAAAGGAAAAATATCTGACCGAGTGTTATCAGGCCCAGCTGGCGGTTCCAGAAGGTACGTGCACCCACACTCCAGGCCCTTAATTGTGCTTGTGCTAATTTATTGCCCCTTCCCCAGGCTATCCTCTGATAATCGCCTCGATTGGACCCTTTGGCGCCCACCTTCACGATGGCTCCGAGTACACCGGTAGCTACGCCGATTATGTACCAGCAAAGACCATCACCGACTGGCACCGCATCCGGATCGAGGCTTGTCTGGAGGCGGGAGTCGATGCCCTGGCCATTGAGACAATTCCGTGCCAGATGGAGGCTGAAGCCCTCGTGGAAATGCTTTGCGATGACTATCCGGATGTCAAGTTCTGGGTGGCATTCCAATGCAAGGATGAGAGCACTCTAGCGCATGGCGAGACCTTTGCAGATGCGGCAAATGCCATCTGGGATATGCTCGCCGAGCGTAATGCTCAGGACAAGTGCCTGGCTGTCGGTGTGAACTGTGTGCATCCCAAATTTGTGACATCTTTGTTCAAGAGCCTTAATGGAGACCGCAGCGTGGAAGATCAGATCCCGCTAGTTGTTTATCCCAACAGTGGAGAGGTCTACGATGTCGTCAAGGGCTGGGAGGGAAGGGAGCATTGTGTGCCCCTCGCCAACTACGTGCCCGAGTGGTCGCAGCTGGGAGCCAAAATTATTGGCGGCTGCTGTCGCACATACGCCAGGGATATTCGCCACATTGGCGAGGCCATCCGCAACTGGAACAAACTGAAGAAGGTCGCTTAAAGGTGGCAAGAACCTGCGGATCTCAGTAACTGTAACGAAAAAAATGCATTTGAATTAGTTCTGTATATATACGTAGTTAGGTATTTAGTTTTAATTATTCTTTGAATTAAAATTCAAAAAGACAAATACCGCTTTTGAATATGATTTCTAAATCGAACGTTTGAACCGTGTTTTTGTCAAAACAAAAAACATGCAATTACTTAAAAGTAGTTAATCTTGAACAAAATTGATATATCATATAATCATATAAAATTATGTGGGCAAAGCTGAGAGATCTATATACCTAGTAATATTCGACGGAAGATCAAAAACCAGGAATTTGTCTTAATAACCGGTTGACAACAATTATTCCCGGCAACATGAATTTTCATACCCTAGGGAAAAGAATATTATAGAATTAAGAAAATGTTTGTCATCCCAGGCTCCGTAGGTATCAGGATCGAGATGAATTTATACAAGATACTAATAATATACATGAATACATACAATTTGAGAAAAGGTCTTTAAAAATTACCTTTTATCTTTATATAAAATTAACGAAATAGGGTGTACAAAGGCAGGCGGAATTCGGACAGAATTCGACGGAATCTCTAAATTGAGGATATGAACAACTATCCTTCTTTCGTCAGTAAATTTACGGTATTTTTTAAATGAGATGGTATGTGTTGGTATATTTTTGAGGGTCGGACGGTATATTTTATCAATAAGTCCGCGGTCACACTATATACGAAACAGGCACCATTTGCGAAATTTTAGTAATTTAATAATTTAAATAATTAATAATTAATTAATTTACGCGAAAAGCGAATAAAACACACAAGAAATGTTGATCAAAGTGAAGGTAAGTATGGAGTAAAATTTCGGGATGAAGCCTCCGGCGGCAACGCGCACTTCGGAGCCTCCATTTCTATGCGTCAGCTAGCAGACAACAACAAAATATGCAAAATGTGTTTCTTTACGGATCCGATCCTAAATTGCAGACGCTGACCGGGAAGGAAATTGAAATCGACATCGAGCCCACAGATAAGGTGGACCGCATCAAAGAGCGTGTGGAAGAGAAGGAGGGCATTCCGCCACAGCAACAGCGTCTAATCTTTTCCGGCAAACAAATGTGAGTGACCGGCAGAATTACATTATATATTCGGTCAATTAACTCTGGCCATTTATTTCCATGCAGGAACGATGACAAGACTGCTGCCGACTACAAAGTTCAAGGCGGATCGGTGCTGCATTTGGTGTTAGCTCTGCGCGGAGGCCATAGCCATGCCTAGACCTCGGATGTTGGTGAATCTTAGTAAATTTGGTTAAGAATTATTACCCCTCGCCGGCGCCAGGGGGAGCTTATCTTTTTCTACAAGCTACTCAAATAAATCTAAATCGGCGATTCGGTATCTAAATATATGAAAAATGCATTTATTCATGTGTTGGTTGGGCAGTATCAATACATCAGTTCAGTTCTGTTTCACAAAACGTCCGACTAGCAAGTGATTCTTTGGCGTGCACTGTTCGGGCTTGAGGCGTGTGAGTATCACCTGGTAGCCCGCCTCCTCCGACTGCAGCTTGCGGTCCGTGTCCACAATGGACATGCATTGCAGACCCTGCAATGTGGTCTCCGGCTTGCAATTGGTTGTGCCCATTTCATGGGCCTGATCCGCTGTATGGGCTATGTAGAGATAGTCGTTTGTGCTTAACACCCGCTGGAAGCGTTGACTAAGTGGATAGGAAATGTGGGGCATGGGCTGCAACGAGCCATAGCAGCAGGGGCAGCAGACGAAATGAGCAACGGAACGGCGACACTGCTGGAGAACAATGTCGGTCGCCGTGCCGCAAGCGTGAAGAGATGCTCCTATATCGAATCTTCCCACAAAGTAATCAATATTGCATTGATAGAAGACGCAGTTGCTTAGCTCCAGCTCCAGGGCTCGCTTCTGGGCTTGGGCCAGTGAGAAAGACTTGTTCTCCATGACGATAATGGTGCAGAGGGGCAGCTTAAGGGCCAACAGTATGGCTAAGTGTCCCGTGCCGCTGCAAAAGTCCACAATGCGATCTCCTGGCTGTGCCAGAGACACCACAGCATTCGCCATATTCTCCAGCTGCTGTCGCTTGCGTTCCAGGCGCTCCTGTGGCAGGGCTGAGCTCGTAGCATGCGTGGGCTCGATTTTCTGCCAATCGATGGTCTGCTGGCCAAAGGTGTGTTCCGAATCGGTACTGAACACCAGTTGCAGTTCAGAGAGCTTGGCGAGAGCCAGATCTACCTCGGCCTGGCTGGTGTAGATCCGATTGCGAGGCTTGTAGCGCTTGGGATCGGCTTTGTAGAGACTAGTGGCATCGCAGTCGGGTATAGAAAGGAGCTCTTCGCCCTGCGACGCCGCCTGCGGCACATATAGCTCGCCAAGGATCTTGGCACAAGTGCCATCAAATGAGTCAATCTAAAAGTACACAATGACACACAGTTGGTTAATTCTTCTTCTATAGAACACTCCTTTATCATACCTCACTAAACCACGTGCTGGTCAGGGGAAAATGGGGCAACATTTGCCCACAATGCTGGAAGACTATTCGTAGCAGGGGGTACAAAATGAGATCTGCTATGGTGAAGCTAATTCCTTCCGCAAAACGATGCTCAATCAGAAGTTGCTCCTTGGGCGTCCTACCATCGATCTGAACACGATGTTTCCTCTTAATCTTGGCACCGTTCTCAGTTTGGTTGGCCTGCTCCCTGGCCTGTTTATAGATATTATGCATGCGCACGGGTTCATTCATGTGCTGCTCGAAGCGTACCACTTCGTCGGGAACAGCCTTCAGCAGAAGGCCCTCATGAAGACGGCTCACGACGTCCACGACATCAACTTCGCAAAATCGAGTCCAGATCGAAGCTTCCGATGGAGCCAGTAGACAGCTCTCCTTGAAGCCCAGTAGTTTGCGCAGTTCGGTATTCGGCTGTCGGGCAATTAGTTCCCTGCAAACAGCACAGGTCCCAGCTATAAAGGTATTTCCATCCTTCTCATAGATGGGCAACCGGAGATCCCGAATAGCTGGCAATTTGGCCGCCTCGCGGCATGTTATATGCTGATCGGTGAGCTCCCGCCGCAGTTGAGAGCTGCGTAAAGCTATCTTACCACTCTCTATTTTGGTGGCCACAAAGTTAACTTGGATATTCTTGGGCTCATTGAGATATCGGTATGTGTATAGGGCTAAGAATGAAGACACGCTGGTGTAAATCGTTGTTTCGGCATTCTGAGTGCTTATCTCAATTTCTAAGTACAGCTGATCCATAGTTTAATTAACTAATCATTTAAATAGTTGAGAAAATAAATAAAAACAAAATTCTAAAATCAACCAAAAGCAAAACAGAAGAAACGAAAATGAGTAAAAAGAGTGAGGTTATGGCGAAAGGTAAATAAGAAATCAGCTGGGGGCAGAATATAACAATCGCCATTCACATGGCAGCGTTAATGCATTGCTTTGAATTTTTGAATGTGTTCGTTTTTAGTTGTTTTAATTTTTGTTGTTGTTGTTAAATGATTTTATTGAGTCTTAGGTGCTAATTAGTTACGTTACAGTCGCTTGGACGCACTGCGACACTTCACACCAAAATCTATAGGCCTAAATGCGAGCCATCGCTTTGAGGTTTCAATCCATTGCATTACAATTTCAGGTTTAGTCGACCATTCGTTCGAGCGGGAGACAGGTGTCGTCGTGTAAGCGTTTATAGGCCAACCAAAAGGTAATACTTGTATTAGTTATTTCGTATGTATTTGATTGACAGTCAGCTGTGCATATTTACATTCATTATTTTTATAAGTATGTATGTATGTTTGCATATTTGGTTTTTAATTACCCTGAATGTGCGTTTGTGTGTGCGTGTTTGCGCTCTTTTTACGGGTGTGGGTGTGTGTCTGTGCACTGCTTGATGGTGTAGTGTGTGTGTTGTGTGTGGCGCCTGACCAGTGGAAAAATCTTAGTAACTTTCATTACGCTGCATCGCATGAGTAAATAAACTCTAATTGAGGAAAGGCCACTTATCCACTCCATTTATATTGTAAAATATTTATCAAAATTCAATTGAATTGAATTTTAGTCATAGTTCTTCATTCACTAGCTGCTGTCACACGATTATCCCAATCCGAATACAGCGAATCAGTCTTTTTTTTTCAAGTGAAACAGCTGTCTTAAACGATCCAACTGTGACTTTCTTTACCAGTTACACCGATCCTTAGTCATAGTTCTAAAACTACAGAAAATTGCAGCTCTAGAACACTTAGAATTCGCTAATAAGGTGGTTTCCACAAGATTTATGGCCCCCCAACAAGGGCCCCTAAACTTTTTCGACTATTTGCTTAGACTCGGGGTCTGTCCTGTGCATTTACCTGTTAGTTTTACTAATCTAACGTAATCTCAAGTCCATCTATCTGATTTATAAACATATAATTGATATGCCCCAACTTTCTGGGAGAGAGCGTTAAGTGGTTTAATAGAAACCGATCACGACTTGAATTTTGGTTGGGCAACGGCAACAGATACGAGGGGGAGGGAGGAGTATCTGTCCTGATGATAAGACCCTCCCCCGGACACTGCACTCGGCAAATATACATCCATCTAGTGGTGCCGCAATCAAAGAGTAAACAGGGGGAGAAGGCTTTAAGAAATTGTACAAATAACCAAATTAACGCTGGCACCCAGGCACCCGGGGTGGCACAACACACAGACACACACACACACACCGCTGCACTGACAAGACAGAATCAGAGACACACAGATGCACACTTGCGCAAGTCTAGCTAAAAAGATATAAAGAAGACAAGACGCTGCTGCGGCAACGAACTCGTTCCAATTGAAACGAAACTGAAACCCCAACACATCTCTCATTCCGCTCTGGAACGCGCAACCGAAAACATTTTCGCATTCGTTTGCGTTTACTGATCCGCAATTGTTTTCTTATTGTTTTTTTGCGTCTCCGATAAAGCAGCAGCTACCCACCCCGCCAGAATGGAGCAGTGGAACAATGTGGAGCTGACGAACATGTCCAAAAAGTCATACACACTGAATCATGCCTATAATATGGCCGAAAAGCTCAACAAGGAGAACAACGCTGCTCCGACCTCCAATGGTAGTGGTAGTGGTAGTATTAAAGGTAACGACAGTGTCCAGGCCAAGGACCAAACAGACAGCTCGGTCCTAAAGCCTGGCTCTGATGTACGGCCAAAAGTGGAGCCCGAAGATGTGGAGAACCTTTTGCGACGACTGTATGGCATCACAGTGAGCGAAGTGAAAGAGATTCTGGCCTACGATGATCGTAACTTTCTGATCCATGAAGACAGGTAAGCTCTTATGTCATTCCTGTAGCCGCCAATGTCAAATATAGCGGCGAAAAATATATAAAAGGTAAAAAGTGGGGCAATAGAAAGGCTCATGTCAAATCTAACCGGGAAAAAAACACAAGCCTATCATCAATCATTCCTTAGCCGATTTAAGCACACATATAGCACATATAGAGGAGGCTCTTGCTTGAGCAGTAGCCGCTGCACGACTGATAAATAAAAAAAAAAATGTTTACACTGGAGCGAGATTCAGGTCAAGGGGGGTCGTGTCAGTGTGGGGACATGGGCTGGTGTAGCATCTATTTATAACCATTTAATTAAAGTTGTTAGGCGCGGCAGTTGACTGTGACGCGTCGCAGTACTGCGGCACAGTCACCTTCCTTGCCAGCAGCATCCCATCCCCATTGTTATCTTGATGGATTCATTGGGATACCATGCCATACCATACTACACACTCTGTTGTCGTCGCTCGCTCACTTTAATAAATTAGATTAGCTTACAGAACTAAGTGCACAAAGGTGAACAGGAATGGCCGTTATTTAAGAACAGGCCTCTTCTGGAAGCCGAACATGCTGAGCTTGGTTTGATTTGGACTGGAGGAAGTGCCCAGTTTGCTGTTCTTGGACTTGGACAAACCCCTTTTGGCAGTTGTGGTGCTGGTGCTGGTCGGCTTGGTGAGGCCCACGCGTCGTTTGCTGGACACAAAGAAATTGTTGCGTTGAACGGCAGCTTCCTGGCTGCTGGGGAGCGTTGCTTCCGAACTGCAGCTGTCATCAGACAGCAAATTGATGGTGTCTGAAGAGGCCGGCTCCTGAGGCTCTCCCGCTAGTATGTCAAAGGATTTAACACGAATATCCTTGCTGTCTTCAAGCTGAACACTTTCTGATGATGGCTTCATTTTATTGCTAGAAGCATTTAAACATGGCTTTTCATCCTCTTCGGAGAGTACCATGTCTGTAGGCTCAGTAAATGCATTCGTTTTCGTTTCCAGTCTTAATTTCTTGTTGGAGCCACTTGATCCCAACTCTTGTGGCGACTCCTCCTCTTTCAGCTGCTCCTGCCGCAGCGTTGCCTGTTCCGCTTGAGTGGTAAAAAAGCGACTACGCACCTCCACCTGCTCCTTGGCAAAGATGCTTCGCTTTAGGGAACTCACACGCGTCTCCTCCGCTCCTTCACCGCCGGGACTGCATTTCTTTGGGCTTAGCAGACGCAGCAAAGAACTATTCTCACAGACAACTGGGGACCGTAGCAGCGAATCCTGTCCTGTGCGTTCCTTGGCAAAGGGATTGTGACGACTTCTCGTATGTACTGGCGATGGGGGCGGTGTGCGTTCTCTATCCGTAGACCCACTACCGCTTGGACTTCTTCTCCGCTTCGATTTGAAGCTGTACATGGAAAAGACTTGCGCTTTCCGTTTGCTTAGCCTGCTCCAGTCGCTCATTGGCCTTGATTTCCTCATCTATCGTTGGACCAACAAAATCCACCTTCTTGAAGAACAAAGCACAAGGTGATTGCACCTTTTCCGGCTGTTCATTTCCTTGATTCTGTACAGATGATACATTTGATAGCCAAATACTTTTGTGCTTGGTACGTTTAGTATTTTTGGGAGCAGCAAGTGCTTTGCCGGGCTCCCAGCTATCCAGGCGTTTGAGCGAAAACGGATTCAAATTCCCTAGAGCTAAATGCAGAGCCAGATGGCTATCTTCCAGCAAAGTGCCAGCATTGCTGCAGTAGCTTTCATCTGTCTCGTATTCCTCAAGAGTGCAAAGTCGCTCCATGCGACGCTGCAGAGGATTGTAGATGAACATGTGCTTGAAGGTGGCCTCGGCTTTCATAAAGTTCTCAATGTAGTCATCGTCCACCTAGAGAGAGCAATGGAAAATTTTACTCATCTTTTAATGAAACTCACATGATATCTGACTCACCTCCAATTTGCTCATATTGAGGTAGCTTGGAATCTTTTTCAATGCTATCCGCATGTCGTCCTGTTCCGTTTTCAGCATGAACTTGCAAGCCTTGGCCAGACCTATGCCCGGTAGTGAGTCGAGGTAATCACAGCCCGACAGTATGCACATGCGTCGAAACTTGTCAAAATGATACTTCGCCTGCGTGCAGCCCATTGCCAGGTAGAGCTTGTCCGCCTCCACCAGCAGACCGCAGCCATTTAGGTCCAGTTTGAAGATAACCTTCTTTGCGCCAAACAACGTCAAGTCGGAGTCCTCGGTGATTATGTACTGGGCAATGTTGGCCTTGTTGAGCCAGGCCATCTGGGCATCCGCCTCGTAAGGCGCCACAATGCAGTCCACATTGCGATTCCGGCACTCGCGTATCAGTCTGAGGGCCATCTCGTGGGTAACATCCACACAGCGACGCATTTGGGAGCGTGCTTCCTCCACACGACCCAGGCGCAGGAGTTCTGCTGCCCGTTGCTTGCTCTGCTGTCGCGACTCTCGCCGCCGCTTCTCGGTCAAAGCCTTTGCCGGCAAATGCTGACCATCAAATACCAGAATTGGTTTGATGTCGTAAGAGAGTAGCATCTGTATGTACTTCAGACAGTACTGCACGTACTGATCGCAGTCCTCGCCGCGGGCTAGCTTTTCCGCGCAACTAAAGACACCTTTGTGCAGCCAACAATAAGTGTCCACAGCGACGGTGCTACCGCGTATGTCTTTCAGTTGCAGCTTCGACGATGCCTTCTCCAGAAATGGTATCAGGCCGGTAATACCCATGGTCAGGCATGCAGGTGGTCAATTTGCAAGCTTAATGATAACACAAATTAAATAAAAACCAAAGCAATAAACACAACACACGGTGGAACTATTCTACCGCCAAAATATCTCTAGTGTTGTACAATTGTAAAATGTTACATTGCCATTCACCCCGATTTTCTGCTATCACTTTCCAGCACTATACCAGGGGCACACTAACTAATCAAATTATAACCGTTTTTATCCATTTAGCAATGTGAAGAATCCCCTGATTGTCTCCCACTGCCCCCATGGCTATATCCTGAAGATTATGAATTCGTTGGACTCTAAGAAAGAAGACGTTGTGGATGCGCAGAATCAAGTGATGCTTTATCTATGTAAATACTCATTAACTTTATACATGTTTATTCAACTGAAACGAATAATCTGTTCTTCTTTGTTCTGCAGCAAAACAACAAATAAAGTGTCCCCGTCCTATTGCCAATGCCAGCGGAAAGTATTACTCGGTGGAAAAGCTAAATGGCACAGCCCATGTGGTGCGCCTCTTGGAGTTCGTTCCCGGCCAAATATTCCGCGATGTTCCAATCACCAACTATCTGCTGTTTCAAAGTGGCGAATACTTGGCGAAATTGGACCGAGCTCTGAAGGATTTCACCCACGAAGCCTATGAAACCCACACAACAACATGGATGCTGCAGAACGTACCGGCCGTGAGAGAGTTTCTGTTCGCCGTCAAGGATCAGGAGCGAAAAGCATTGTGTGAGGAGGTGATCGATGCCTTCGAGTCGAAGGTATTGAGTGTGGTGCCCACCCTGGATCATCAGATAATCCATGGCGACTTCAATGAGTCGAATATTGTGATCGAAACGGCACCAAATCAGACGGACCATAACATCAAGGGAGTGATCGATTTTGGGGACATGAGCAAGTCGCCGCTTCTCTTCGAAATTGGCATTGCCTTGACCTACATGACGCTGGAGGCGAAAGATCTGGCCAGCGGTGGCATCTTCCTGGCAGGATATACCAGCATAAAGCCAGTCAGTAGCACAGAGCTGGGATATCTCAAGTATTGTGTGGCTGCTCGTCTCGTCCAGAGCCTGGTATTGGGCCTGTACACGCACAGTTTGCATCCCACCAATGATTACTTGCTGTCTACCCAACACGAGGGCTGGAAGCTGCTCGAGAAGCTGTGGAAGGATAGTTTTGACTCCGTGGACGAACTGTGGTCGACCACAGGCCATCAGTACTTGACGCAAAGCAATAAATAAACTAGAAAATTAGAAAAGTGTCAATTATAAGAAATGTTTGCTTTAAATATTACTTTTATCCGATATATTATTATCATCATAATCTTTACAATAAAACTTGTTAAACAAATACAAATACATCGTATGTAGTACATATTGCTTAGATTTAGGTGTTTCGTTAGTTTTGGGTTCTCTAGAGACGTGGCAATTACATATTTCCAATCGATTTTCAGTTGAATTGAACTAATTAACGCTAATTACATTTTGGATCGTATTCGTGTAAAAATATGTTTGAACAAAGTTCGTTCTTCCTGCCAATATACAATTTGTTCCTCCCCCTGGCGACTATCTAATTCTACATATATATCCATTGATCTGGCATCTACTTAACGCTATAATTACAAATATCTCTCCTTTCTCGCTTAACACCTACTGAAATGTACAAAAGTGCAGTGCCGCTGCGGGATCTGCTTTGCACAAGCTGTAGGCATGATTATTGATGCTCCTCTTCCTTTCTTATCTCGTTGCCAAATGGTAAACTCATCAAACAGAAGACGTCTTGAACAAATGGTATATATGGTGGGGACTGCGACGCTACTTGTTGTTGCTTAAACATGTTTTTTACAGCTTGAAAATCAAGTTTTATTTATTTTTGTATATATTAAGGGTGTTTTTTTTTTGTTTTAACTAAAAAGAAGTTAATAAAGTAAAAAAACAATACGTTAAAGATAACTTTAAGCTTAACACAATTTTTACACACGCTCAAAAAAAAAAGTAAAAAAAAAGAGGGGAGTGGGGGGCGTATAAATTTACAATAAAAGTCAAAGATAATAATCAGACATATACCTGAGCACACAGACGCACACACAATAAAACATATAAATAAAGGGAGAAAATTGTTACAATTATGATCTATGAAAAAAAAATTGGTTTAAAAATTTAAAGTCTATAAATGTCATTTTGTTTTTATGCCAAAATTAGACATTTACAATAATAATCAAGATAGTAATCAGAGATATACCTGAATGTATAAAAAAGCTCTTATCAACACTCAGACGCACACACAATAAAACATATAAATACAGGGATAAAATTGTTGCGATTACGATCTAAGAAAAAAAAATTGGTTTTAAAATTTAAAAAGTCTAAAAATTTCATTTTGTTTTTATGCCAAAATTAGAGACCAGAGCATGTCCTTTCTGTGGGTTTATCACTTGCGAAATGTTGATAAAGCTGAGATGTTGGAACCCGATCAAACTAAGCGACTGTTTATGGGATTAATCATCTATCATTAAAATATTATATAGGATTACGTCGTGAGGGCAGACACAATCTAGCGTGGAAACTCTTTAGAATTCCTTGAGGCATAGATTGCAGGGCCAGAACCTAAAAACTAATGTTTTTCCTTAATATTTCAATAACCTAAATAAGATTTAAAAATAGCGCAAAAAAAAATTAAGGAATAATAATTAATGTGTATTACATAGGCAACGTCATTGGGTAATGAAGCCACCATTATCCACCTTTGGCACGCCACTGCTACTTCTCAGCTCACGAAGAGTCCTCTGCCCAGCTAACGCTTTCTTTGCCGCTTGCGCCGCTTGAGGAACACATACGAAGAGTTCATCTCCTGATGCCTGGATTCGGCTGCGGTGAGAGGTATCTTTTTGCTAGCTAACGTGGCCACCGGCACTGCCTCAGCCTTCGCCCGGGCAATGGCTGTCAGTGCTTTCACCGAGTCCAGCCAGGGCAGGCTGAAATCAGATCTCGCCTCCATGTTGACCACATTCTCACCGAACGCCTGCACAGGTATTTCCGTGACAATTTGTACGCCTTCAATGTCCTCGGGCAGGGGGTAGAAGGTGGACGTGGGCAGGGGATCGAGTTTGACCAACACCTCATCCTGATTGTGGCGCTGCCGCAGAGCCTCGCTCCTCATCTGCTCCCTCATGTAGCGGGCATCGCGGCGCTTCCTTTCGATCTCGTCCTTTACATACTTTTCGTGACGCTTCACAAAATCTTCATCCGTCAGGCTCTCAATGTCCTTGTTGTCGGTGCTGGGCGGTATGGGTGTATCCCGCCATTTGGGTATCTCCAAGCTCGGATGATCCGACAGCAGTTCGTCGGCTTCCTCATCGAAGAACTCGTTATCGCGATGGAACTCCTGATCCTCCCAAGAGCGTGTCGTATACGGAAACAGGACAGTGCGATATCTGGATGTGGATTTGTGAGCATAGTTTTGGACGATCGTTCGGGATGCGCTGGCGCCGGTGCTAGAAGTTGTGCTGCTGCTGCTGTTGCTGCTCATCGACTGGGGTGTCAGGGGTGCCGCAATTACTATCATCGATTTATCGTCTGCCTTTGTTTCCGTCTCATCGGAGGTGTCTACTATCAGATTTGCGGTCGAGGGCGGTGGCGTCGTTGACGGCGTTCCTGGTGGCGTCGTTTCAGACGCTGGTGATAATGGTGATGAGGGTGGTGTGGGTGACATTGAAGTTGATGCATGCGCTATCGGGGGATAGATCAAACTTGTGTTGGAGCTGTTATCCTTGGGGGGTTTCTTGAGCAGCACCACCGGCTGTTGACTCAGTCGCCTCTGCTCCTTTTTCAGATGCTCCTGAAGTTTGCGACGCATTTCCTCCTCCAAACGGGCCACCTCCTTCTCCTTGTCCAATTTGTTGTTGTTCTTCAGGAAGGAGGAATCATGGAATTTCCTGTCATTGGAGAGTCCATGCTGCTTGAGCTTCACCTGCAGACGTTTTTGTTTCTTCATTGGCGGTGCCCCCGCTTCAGAGAGCTCTGCCTTGTCTCCTTCTATGTCTTGTATGAGGTTGTGGGGGCGTTTCTTGGGCAATGACTGATGATTGGCCACGTGTGGCATCTTCTTATCGTGCTGTATTGATTCGCTCTTTGAGGGACTCTTGCTCTTGCTCTTGCTCTTACTCCGTTTCTTCTTTTTCTTTTTGAACTCTGGTTGGACCACGGCAGCAGATTTTACACTATTTAGAGCTTCAAATCGAGCGGGAAGATCCTCTTCTGCTGCTACTTCTATTTTCGCTGCCTCCTTTGGAATCTCCGTTTGGATTTCTTTCTCCGGTTCAGAGGCCTTGGCCTTGAGAAGACCAGCCACTGGTGCGGGAGCTGCAGCGTTTCCCTTGTGCTTAGTCTCCTCAACGGATTTTTCCTTCTGCAGAGTTTCGACCAGGGATTTTTCCTTGGGTAAAGCTCCTGCCAAAACGGAATTTTCCTTTGGTACAGCTGCTGCAGAAGACTTCTCCTTGGTTTGAGTCTCTGCAACAGCAGCCTGGGTCTTTGTCGTAGGCAGACAGAGGGTTCCCGCCGCCACAATAGTGGACTTCTCCTTGTGAAAAGCCGTCACCGCAGTGGAGTTTGCCTTGGCATGGCCTCCAACACGAGATGAATGACCCGCCGGCACTTTGAGAATCAGTTTAGTCCCCGTCGCCTCCTTTGTTGCCCTGTCCACCTTCTTATCGGATGACTCTTCCTTAGATTTAGAACGAACCAAAGAAGAATTTGGTTTTGTTGAAAGAGCGTCTACCACAGCTGGCTTTTCCTTGGGTGGAACTGCTGCGACCGTGGAGTTCGCCTTTGTTGGAGATGCTACAACAGCGGAGTTTGCCTTGGTTGGAGGAGCTTCTACAACAACCGACTTTTCCTTGAGCGGGGCCACCACGACAGTGGGCTTTTCCTTGCTCGAAGATACTTCGACACTGCAATTTGCTTTCGGTGGAGCTTCTACAACAACAGACTTTTCCTTTGATAGAGCCGATACAACAGCGGACTTATCCTTGGGCAGAGCTCCTACAGAAACGGACTTTACCGTGGGTACAGTCGCTTCAATAGTAGACTTTTCCTTCGGAGCAGACGTTGCCTCAGCAGTGGACTTTTCGTTTGATGAAGTGGCTAAAACAGCGGGTTTTTCCTTCGGTACAGTCGTTTCTTCAATAGTGGATTTTTCCATGGATGAAGTCGCTTCAACAACAGGCAGTTCCTTGGGTGCATCTGCGGCTTCAACAGTAGACTTTTCCGCAGGCACAGCAGCTTCTGCTAAAACAGATTCTTCCTGGACTGGAGCTGGTACTATAACAGACTCTTCCTTAGTTGGAACTTCAACGATAGCAGAATTGGTCTTGTGTTTAGGTTCCACGACAGCGGAGCGGTTAGCCTTGGGCAGAGCAGGAACAGGAGTAGCAACAGGAGCGGGAGCCTGAGGATTGCTAGCAGATGTTTTGGGCAGGACATGCTTGCTGATTGTCGTGGTTGTGACCTCCTCTGTTTTGATTTCAATTTCCATGCCGGCTTGCTCTACAACGGTCTCCTCCGTGTGAACTTCCACAGTCTGTACTTCCACCGTCTCTATGCCCATGCTCACTCCCAATTCCACACCCACACCTGTCTCCAGTGTCTCCACTTCGAGAGTCTCTACTTCGACAGTCTGCACTTCCATTTCCCCAGCATCCATTTCCAAGGGCTCTGCGATGACAAGTTTCGGCTGCTGGCTGTCCTCCTCCACTTCAAGAAGCTGACGCGTTTCTGATGGCTCCTTTTGTGGGTAACGCTGCGTAATGTGCTGGTGATTGGGTGTTGAATGGGCTGATGGCGCCATGCTCTTATGCTCCGGACTTTCCATGGCGTGTATCTGAAGAAAAGATTGCGATTCCTTGAATCTGTTACCACACACAGATAAAACGCCAAAGAGACTTACCTGATGATTGGCATGTGACATCGGAGGGACTGTCTGCCAACAACTGTCGTCGCCTTCATTTGGGCGCAAGGCATCTAAATTGTTAACATCAGTTTTTGAGGGTGGAGGCTGGATATGCTCCCGCTCCCCCTCATCATTGTCCTCGCTTTCCTCGTCCACGTCCTCATCTTCACTTCCGCTTTCGCTCTCATCGTCGCTCTCTTCATCATCATCATCATCGTCGTCATCACCATCATCATCATCCTCCTCCTCCTGTTCGTTTTCGAAGCATTGTCGATCCTCGATATGGCCATTATACACTGTGGTCTGTACAATCTCCTCTACGGTTTCCACGCCCATCTCCTCCTCGGCTTCAAGAAGTATCATTCCATCCGGCTGTAGGGCATAATGGAAAATGGTGTTTTCTTCAGCAATAACCACCTCCTCCATTTGATTCATCTGATCCATTGCAACCTCCTCCGTTTCGATGTCCTGCTGCTGTTCCACCGTCTCCGTTTCGATGACCTGCTGCTGCTCCACCACCTCCGTTTCCATCACCTGGGGCTGGGTCTCCACTTGCTGTTCCAACACCTGCTCCCTTTCGATGGACTGCTGCAGTTCTGCCAGCTCCTCGGTTTCCATAACCTTCTGCAGCTCCTCCTCCTTTGTTTCGATCACCTGCTGCTGCTGCAGCTGCTCTTCTACCACCGGCGGCTTTTCCACTTCCGGCTGCTTCTCCTTCTCCGGCTGGCTATGTGATGGGATGTGATGCTGGGCTGAGGATGTGAGGCTGGAGTCCTGGTTAACCCGATGAAGAAACATGGTGCTAACCTTCTTGCCATTGTATTCCCCTCTCGCTTTGCTCTCCACGGGCGGAGTGCTGATTGTCGGCGGCAGATTCGTGACGGAGGTAACAAGAGTCGCTTTGGAAGAGCTTTTGTGCGGAGACTGATGGAGATGATGATGCTGCTGCTGACGAAGCTGTGGCGGTTGATTTTCCTCCGCCTGCTGCTGCTGACGATGCTGTGGCGGTTGATTTTCCTCCGCCTGCTGATGCTCCTGCTGCTGCTGTTCCCTTATAGGCTTGGGCTGCTGCTGCTGTTCCTCCCTCACAGGCCAAGGCTGCTGCTGCTGCTCCTCCTCTCTGATAAGTGTGGGCTGCTGTTGTTGCTGCTGTTCCACTCTTATAAGTGTGGGCTGCTGTTGCTGCTGCTTTTCCTCTCTTATAAGAGTGGGCTGCAGTTGCTGCTGCTGCTCCTCTCTTATAAGTCTGGGCTGCTGCTGCTCTCTTGCAAGTCTAGACTGCTGCTGCTGAATGTCCTTTACCAGTCTGGTTTGCAGTTCTTCCCTCACCATCCTGGTCTGTGGCTCCTCTCTCATAAGACGCGGCTGCGACTGCGGCTGCGGCTCCTGCCTCACAAGACGGGGCTGTGGCTCCTCAATCGTTTGAGTTGGCTGCTGTAGCTCCTGCCTCCTAAGAGGGGGCTGCTGCTGCTCCACACTCATTAGAGGGGCCTGCTCCTGCTGTTTTTGAATCATTAGATGGGGATGTTGGGGCTCCTCTCTTACCAGCCTGGGCTGCCTTTTAGCCTGGTGTAGATAAGGATAAGCCGGCTCCGGCTGTGCCAGATGATGCGCTACCAACTCCGTTTGTGTTTCCGCATTGCACACAATCTTCTCCTGCATGGCAGGTGGCAGTTGATGATCGTCATCGTCATTGTTGTCGTCGTCGTCGGGGCCCCCCCTCCTGTTCTTTTTCCTTAGCTGCTTGCGTAGCTCCTCGATGGTGGCCTCCAGGTGGACATTGACCAGCTTCAGGTCTTGGTTCTGCGAGAGTACGGCGTTCAGCTTGTCCGTTTGACCGTCCAGTTCCTTCTCCTTGGCCGCAAGGCTGTCCGTCTGCTCCTGCATCAGATTTAGATGAAGCATAATCATACGCTTCAGATTGTTGTTCTCCACGATGAGGGTGACCACATCCGAGCCCGAAGAGTTGCCCGAGGCGGGCGGCGCCATGGCGCCGCCTCCGACCCTGGGCAGAGAGGGTTCTGCTGACGGCGGTGGCGGGGGCTTGTAGTAGCTGCTACCCGTATTGGGCTTCTGATAGCTATAGCCATGTTGCGGGCGTGAGTAATTCTTGTGGGCATGCGAGTGCGGATGTTTTTTCTGGTAGTAATAGTCTCTATCACCGCCGCCACCACCACCACCACCACCGCCGCCGCCACCGCCACCGCCGCCACGCGACGTATGATGGTAGGGTGGATCCGAGTAGTTGGCCTTCTGGTTGAGTGGCCATTTGAATCGCTTGTCCATTTCGTGTGTGAGCGCTCCTGACAAATTCTATGCGAAGTTCATAGTTTGGATTTTTTGTTTTGATTGCTTTATCGTCGCCCGCCACACCACGCCACACCGTGACAGCGCCGCAGCTGATACAGTAGAATGCGTAAATCTTGATTTCCACCACACTTAATTTTTTTTGTTCTTGTTTCTCTCCCAATCACATCGCTTTTCCCCAGAAAAACGTTTTTGGCGTCAGTTTTAATGTATTTTACGTTGCCCCAATATTGCACGTGGAGACACCATTTGGCTGGATAGTTGGGTTACTTGTTTTCGTCACGCTTTACATGTTTTTCATCGCGTTTTTCACAATTATGCGGAAATTTATGAAACTTCGCCCGAAAAATGCCTTGAAGTATGGCGTTTGCGCGGTGTTGCCAGGCCAGCCCAAAGGCAGGGTTGCTATATATATGCCACGCTGCCAACTGCCAGAAACGAAACGCCGGGAAAGTGGTTTTTCCACTTTTATACCCCTTGAAAGTAATTTAATTAATTGTTTATATTGTTACTTATTATTTTCGCATGGCAGGGAACTAGTTATGTAATGCGAAACTAAGAAGAAAATACGTGTGGTTTTTTAGAAAAGGTGGCAGCTCTGTCTCTTGTGTAAGCGCCAGGTGCGAATGCCACTGGCGAAGAAGCAGAAAATGGCGGCAAATATCTTTGTTGTGCTGAAAGTGGTTGATTTTCCACGAGTCCTTGCGGCATACCGGTACTGTCCATGGCTTCTCTATTCGGCGACGATGGGGTTGATGACTTGTTCAACGACAACGTGTGCGCGGACAACGACCAATTGCCCAGCGATGGCGAGGGGGAGAAACTATTTGCCGACGACGATGAGAACAATGAAAATGCAGATGGAAATCCTGATGCTGGAGTCAAAGTGGAGCCCAAGAAGCGTGCTGTGCGCAATCCAAGGCCGCGTCTCACAGTGGACACCCTGCGTGGCCCACGCGGCATTCACACCATCGAGAATTACTTCAAGGATGTCAAACTGAAGGGCAAGGGCCATGAAAAAACTGATCTGGATGAGGTCTTGCGGCGGCTGCAGCACTGGGGTCATCGCATGTACCCCACCTACACATTCGACGATGTCCTCAACAACATAGAGCGTCTGGGTAAGAAGAAGCCCCTTCAGGTGCACATGTCACGATATCGTCTGGGACAACTGGAGGATTTGCGCATGCAGGAAGGGGACGCTGTCGACGATGGCCAGGAGGAGCAGAACGATGACGCAGCCGATGAACCTTTTGACGAGTTCGATGCTTTGTTGGGCGAACAGATAGCCATGTCTAAGCTGGCACCACACACACCAGCAGCCACGTATCAGAGATCCAAGTTATCCAGCACGAGCACAAGTACTTTGGTTACGCCTTCCTTCTCCCGCCATGCAGTTGTGTCCACTCCCTATTCGACGGTGAATGGTCCGACCTTCGATAAAGATGGTGCTCCTATAGATGCGCACGATATGAGTGATTATGGTCAGCCCTTGCCGTCTTCACAGCCTCCAACGCCAGCGACAAAGAAGCTATCGGCGGATCAAATGGCGCGTATAGCAGAGAATCGAAGGCTGGCACAGGAGCGGCTACTGGCCAAGAAACAACAGCAACAAGAGCTGGAATCATAATTTACGTGTAAAACTTAAGCATTTTTATTGAAGAAAATAAATTAGGATTCGTTTGTAAGAAAGCTACAATATGTGCGTATGTACAAAGAGCAGAAGCTCCTCCAAGTCATGATAGGGATGGATTTGTAGAGCCTCATGTATGAAGAATACTTGTAAAACTATATACTATGGTGTGAATAAACTAAACACTTATTGAATACAAAGCAGTCGAGGTACAGGCGTATGTGGGAGGAATGGGAGCTCGCCTAAGTGTTGAATCGCACAGCGACGCGGGGCAGATACTCAAACAGTCCCTTGGCACCCTTCAGCAGGGCAGCCACAATATTCATTAGAATTACTTCCTGGTTTGGTGAGGTCTGCGGCATTTCGTTCTGGTCCTTTGTGTCGGGCTGACGCTCTTTAACAGCCTCCCGAATGACATGCAGGAGACGCTGATAAAGGAAGGACTGCCTGTAGATGGGCTTGGACAGACTGAGATGGTCATCTTTGAGCAGATAAAAGTCGCCGAAATTTATGCGAGATGACTCCTCGGTGACAATGCGCAGGGGAAACTTAAATGTGGTAAGCATTGTCGGTGATCCCTCGGCCACGCTCATTACCTTGCAATGGCGCAGGGCAGTGTTCAGGCAGCCCATGAAACGTCGATGCATCTCCAGCAGCTTGGGTGCATTTTCCTCCATCTCTTTGACCTCAATCGAGGGGGAGAGGATCATTTGTATATGCTGCTGCCATTTGGCAATCGATGAGCCGCGGTGAGGCGTACCCAGGAATACGATTCCCTTGGTGTTCTTGGCAATCTGTTGAACCTTGGGCTCGTGCGAGTCTATGGATTTCAAAAGCATCAGCTTGGTGAGCAGTCCGCCCATGGAATGACCTATCCACACAATGGGACGCTCATTGCCCACATCAGAGACAGCAATGCGCTCCAGAAGGGTGCTGGCCCTCACATCGATATGACCCTGACCCTTCTCGCAGGGACAATACTTGGTGAAATTCGCCGACCATTCGGTCACAGCCGATGTGTAGTCAATGCCAATGATCCTCGAGTCGGGATAATCATCGGGCAGCCATTCCATGGGCCAGCAGTTTGTGTACTCCTCGTTGTTCTCCTGATTACGCCACTCGTTCCCGGACATACTGAACTTGCCCTCGCAGTTCATATTTGCATCCAAAGGTATATCCGGATGGACCACCTCCCAATCCGAGTCCAGTTCGGGCTGATTGCGTAGGGTCTCCACGAATTCCTTTGTGGCGGCATCGCTGATCATGACAGGATCTTCCTCCACCTTTTTTATGGCCTTTAAAACTGGATCTGTAAGGTTTAGGTTAGGCGTTAATGATTGTGATCTCAAAACGAGTTGCCGCATTTCTTTACCTTTAAAACCTTCCACTTTGGGCTGGCCATTGGCTTTGTTTTCCTCTTGATTGTTGTCTCCTGCATTTTGTGTTGGAACAAGAGGCACTCCCTGCACCTTCTTTTGCTTGGTGCCATTGACACGCTTCTGTTCCCCTACTAGGAAAACATCATCCGATTCGCTCGTATAGAAGGCATTCTTGCCGTACAGACCCAGCTCTGTGGGCTTCCTATCGCGCTGACGCCACGTGATGAATACGCCGCCCAGCAACCCATGGACAAAGACAATATCTGCCTTGGGCTTGCGACGGGTACGCACTCTGGGATGCAGGGGATACACATTGGGTGGATATGTGCACTGGTTGGGATCATCATGGTCCAGATTGGCCATTGTCTTGGCGGAGACCACTTGCAGCCTGAGATCGGCGCACTGTTGCCATTCGGCTAGAGTACCCACCCAGCCAGAGGTAAAGAAGTGCTCCACGACATCGGGCACCACGGACATGTTGGCCAGAACTTTGCACAATGTGGACAGGGTCTCGTTGTCATCGCAGAAGATCTTGCGCAATTCCATGAGATGCACCAGGCCACCATCTTTGATAATTTTAGCCGAAACGTCGGGATCTTTCGTGATGTGATGCAGAAAAGAGATGATCTCCTTCAGCAAGTCCGTGTCGGCTGTGGCCAACACAATCGTTTGCTCCTGATTCAGATATTCGTGTATGTCCTCCTGCCAAAATAAAGAGATATAATAGTTTGAGATATATTCTTCATTCATTTCTTCTGTTCGGTCGCTTACAATGGGATCCTGATCGGGAAAGTATTTGCTGAAGAAATGCTGCACACAGCCCATGGGACGGAGTCGGGCCAGCATTCCATGCAGCTCCGAAAGCAGCATTTTGGGATTCTTAATGCAGCCACGACGATGCACGGGCATAAACCAGCGTGTGTCGGCACCACAGCGCGCCAGGGAGACGGCTGTGCGAGCATCACAGATCTGTGCCAAATGACGAAAGTCCCAATCCTTCAAGTGATCCATGCAGACCAATTGCTGGACTGCCTTCAAACGCTCGGGCTGACTGCCAGTCTGGGCAATATTGAGCAGACGCCAGGCCACCGAATGCTTGGCCGTCTTCCACCATTTGCCAAGAGGATTGATGATAACGCTGATCCATTTCTTTTCATCCTCCTGCTTCTGTTGCATCTTGCGCATGGACTCCCTGTAGATGTGATACTTTATATAGATATACTCGGCGCGACGCTTGTCCGACTCGGGTGCCTTCTTGTCCACATATTGACCAAAGAAATGACGAGCTTGGGGACTACCGTACAGTAAGAATCCAGCACTAAAAGAAACAAAAAGAGTATTTGAATGATTATCGCCAAATAATATTGATCATTTTAGAAACTAGTCGCAACTTTCTATTTCAATCTACCTTTACCATACATACATACATATATATATATTCTCTATTGTAAATATTTATCTGATCTATCTATCCATCTATCTGTATCTATCTTTTGTTTTTCTCATTGCACATTTTCCTCCGAACTCAAACAACAACAAAAATACTATTATCTGCCAACTATTTTGTTATTAGATAAGTGCAAGATCAACAACAAAAACAAATCCACCGAAAAGTGGGCACGTCAGATTCATGGCAAAAACAAGTCCCGTCCACACGCGCCGCAGCAGCGGCACAATTTCTAATCAACAAAAACAACATTGGTTAAACCATAAACAATAACAACAACAAAAACTATCAAATTCGCGGGGGGTTCGCAGATTTTAAAAAAACTGCGCACATTTATGGCGCCATGTTAGTTTTTCGGTTATCTGTGTATGCGTGTGTGTGCGAATGGTGGAGGCCTTGAACAGCTGTTAAAGGCAAAGAAAGAGAAGGCAGCGCCAAATGAGTAATAAGCGGGTAAACAAAAGGCACTAACAACAACTTCACCAATATTGCTATCTCATTTATACAAAATCGTACGTTCTGTTTTGATCTTGTTTGGCAGTAGAGCAAATCAGAAGCGGTGTGATATTAAGCTAATATTGAATACTCTAATGAATGGGGCTATGTTATAAGGAGTTTGTTTTTTGGATGTTGGATTTTCAGTATAATTTGAATTATATTAAAAGGGGGAATATGAAAAAGACTATTGTTATCAGTGCCATATCTGGTATATTTGTATAAAGTGAAAACGAGAACAAGTTCTCTTTAAGGTTTAAGTTTATCCTGTCAAATGAAGAAAATAGTTAATTAGTTACTAACTAAATTAGCCTTGCTATCTTTGTAAGGCAACTATTCTTCCATTGATTCGACATTTTTATAGTTTGCCTGCCCAAAAATTGTTGGCGCTGATCTCATATAATGTCCTGTCCTAACAACAACATCAACTGGATTTGAATGAATAATTTGCTTTTGTGATCTGTAATTAGTAGTTGTAAACAAATGACGTCACAGGTGCGCAATAGTGTAGAATGCGGAAAATATCAACTTGTTGTTGTTGTTCAAGATATATATTATGTAGAAGCGTGTGCGCATATATTATACATAGAAATCGTACGATATATTCAGGGGCATGTGGGGCCACTTTTCATAAAACGTGTATGAGGACGAGCCCCCTGAATCTAAGCAACCTTGTATAAAGTTCTCACTGGGTCTTTGTGTGATTTAAAACTATTTTTGCCATGGGACCTGTAGCATCTGCTGAACGCGGGTGGACTACTTTCGTTTGGGCGTTTGATATAAGGTGGCGTGATGTGATTCACTTACGTGGTCAAAATACCAACTCCACCCAGGCCCACAAGCTTCGGATAACGTCGCAGAGTTGTTTTGAGATCCTCCAATGACATTGCCTGGTCTCTGGCCCTCCGAAGTTTAGTTGTGGTGTAGTTTTGGTGGTCGAAAACACACAATAACAATTAATGTGTTGCTTCTTTTTGCTTTGAAAGCGTTTACACTATTGTTCACACTTTAAATTTAGATGATTATATCAGTTCACGCCCACAAAATATCACTAGGGCGGCTTGCTTTTATTTAGTTGCTGTCACTTGAGACTGTTTTGTTTTGTTGTTGCTTGCTTGGTTTGTTGGCTGTTTTGCTGGCCAAATGTGCGCGTAATTTCTTTATAAAGGCTTCAGCGAACCTATCGGAAGAGTACCGATAGGTCTGGCAGCAGCAGCTGATTGTATGACACTAGACTTAATTTCTATTCATATCTGAAAGACAAGCATGTAATACTTGGTTAATCTAAACTGCTTGAACGGCTGAAAAGAACCGTTTTGGCAAAAATAATGATAACCTGGAACTTTTTGTCTCTTGATTTCTGTGTCTTTCAGATAAGAGAGGTAGTTCAGTGTAGTGTCATAAGATATTTCCGTTTTCCAACACTCGCCAAACGCTTATTGTATCTTCTTTTGATAAGCTGTTTGTTTAGCAACGGTTTTAGCCAGGTTTTTAATTAAAGTAGCTAGATTTACTTGTTTATATAATGCCCTAAACTTCGCTTTGTATTGCTGCGTTCAGAAATCGTTTCACGCTTTGGTTTTGGATCGGATTTCCATGGCTTTTCAGGCAGGCTGAAAGGAGACACAGGCAGACAGAAAGACATAAATAGCTGTGGGTGGTGGCACGGCCAGGTGGGTGGGGGTGGGTGTTGGCGTGGCGGTTGGGCCTGGCATAAACAACTTGGAGGGAAACGAAAACCTCAAAAAGCAATAAAACTCTGCCTTTGGCGACAACGTTGACCCCAAATACAAAATAACCCGTAGCCCCCCGGCTGCCAGAGTGTCGGCCAAGATGAAAATCCATTTTCGAGAGCAGTACGGCACCAAGGGTGAGGAAATACTGTATGTGACGCCAGCAGGTAAGCATTAATATCGATCAAAGTCCGCAAAAGGCCCTTGCCCACTCCACTATATCTCCCCGCAGATCAGAGCAACATTGTTCGTGTGCCGCTACGTGGCGATAAGCTGGTCATTCAAGAAAAGTTCCTGCTCTTTCGGGTGCTGCAGAAAATCTTCTTGCCCAAAGGCTATCCAGACAGCGTCAGTGAGGACTATGCAGCCTACCAGATCTGGGATACGGTGCAGGCCTTCTGCAGCACCATCTGTGGAACGCTATGCACACATGCCATACTCAAGGGCATTGGCGTGGGCAGTGAGAACATCAATGCCTATTCGGCCACAGTTACCTGGATAATGAAAGAGGGCTGCGGTCATGTCGGGAGAATATTATTCGCCTGGTGGAAGGGCTGCCAACTGGACGTGGACTCTAAGAAATGGCGTCTGCGCGCCGATTTCCTCAACGATCTAGCCATGGGCATCGAAATCTATGTGCTTCCCAAATATCCCCATCTTAGTACCCAAATCCTATGTGGTTCCACCATGCTCAAGGCAATTGTGGGTGTGGCTGGCGGTGCCACGCGGTCAGCTCTGACCCAACATCATGCGGTGAGAGGGAACCTGGCTGATGTTGCTTCCAAGGACAGTTCGCAGGAGACGTGCGTCAATCTGGTGGCCTCTTTCGTGGGTCTATATCTGTTGACGCTGATCAAAAGCCAGGCGGTACTCTATACGGTCTTCTATGTCGTAGTCGCCCTTCATCTCTATGCGAATCTCAAGGCGGTACGTTCGGTGTGCCTGCGCACATTCAACGAATCGAGGTACCTAATTGCACTGGAAGAGTACTTTCGGTCGTCGCGGATGCTAACTCCACAGCAGGTGAGTGTCGCATGTCTTCCGATATATATATAAAGCGAAGGGGCTTCTACATCTGCTAACTTTTAGGTCAATGCCATGGAGCGGGTGACGCTGGGACAAACTGTGTCTGTTTCTCTCAACGTACGGCTCGGACTGAGTGTAAAGAATCTGATTGACGAGTACAAGACTAGCAGCAGCATCGAAAACATTGTCTCCTCCTTTGATCCCCATGAGCATTTCATCATAGCCGAGAGTAAAAAATACTTAGGCGTCTATCTGCATTTCGAAACGCGCCAGCAGGATGTGCTCAAGGCGTATTTCTTTGCTGTATCCTATCTGCAGGACAGGAATCAGATCAAGGAAAAGTACTGGGATATACAAAGCAAATGGCAGGAGTTCGTAGGTCTAGCACAAAAAGAGGGTATGTCTAAAAGGCATTTTTACAATATAGACATTCTACTTATTTCGCATATTACATTTTGTAGGTTGGCTGGTCCATCAACATTTGCTGCTGGTAGACGAGTTCCGCTTGGACTGGAAAGTGTAGGATCCCAGGGGATCCGTTGCTTGACTTTTTACTACGTTGCTCGCTTTAAAACATTTGATTTTATTCGAAAATCATTATCATTCTCACATATCTCACATGGTCAAGTAAACCACAAAACAAGAAGCAAACAAAACAGACGAAAACATTGATATTAACTAAGTGCTATTGATATTTACATAGATTTTAGCTCGTTCGCACATGAACATCTTCCAATTAACTCAGCCTTGGCACAAAGTAATGTTTTGTAACCGATATTTTGATAGGATATTTTTTCGCTTTCTCCCATGAATTTATTACGCTAATTTCAATTATTAGATGTTACTGAAAAAAGCTGGTAAAGAAACAACACTCGACAAAAATGTATTTTGTAAAAACATATTGTATGTATTTCGATATTTCGAGTGCCTACTGAACTTTTTTAGATATTCAAGAAACCTGCTGCACAACGAAAACCCGCTCTTCAAATGCATTCCCCTCAAAAAAGTGTACAAAGTTTTAAAACTTTTTTTACGCTAAATAAGCAATATTTTGTTAATTTTTAGCTTCGAATATCTATTGGATAAGTTGGCGTCCATTTTAGCTTATAATAATGCTTGCATATTAATGCAAATGAACATCTCAACACGCAAATGATTTTAACAAAAGAATTGAATAAACTGAAAATTTTAAGAAGTTGCTTTAAATTCAAAATCGAACTTCAACCGAAACGTCTACAGTCCGAACTGCACTCTTCGTCAGTATATTTACGGTATATTTTGAAAATAAGTCGGTATATTTTGGTATATTTCTGAGGTATATTTTGGTATATTTGTGAGGGTCTCGAAGAACAACACGTGCGCACCAACGTGTTTTTGTCAACAGAATTTTAGTTTGTTTTAAAGAGAAATTTAAAGTAATTAAAGTGAACTAAGATGGAAAATGAACAGCCGGGGGCTGTAGTAGCGCCTGCTACAACATCAGATCCTTTAAAGACAGCAGAAAGCATTGAAATGCCTGCAACTACCGAAAGTCCAGCAGAAGTCTCACCACCAAATGACGCAGAAGTAGCAACAGCTACAGATAAGGTGGAAGCTACGCCGCAAACAGGTAAGATTAAAGGAATTGTTTATGGTTAACAAAATAAGGACTGAGTTTTTCATACAGAGACGGAAAGTGTGGCTGAAAAACCAGCTGAAATTGAGCCAAAGTCAACAACTACGGCGGCCAATAACTCCAACCATGTGGAAAATGAAGACCAAGAGAAAAAAGAAAAAGTCGTTGCCAATGCGGAGACGCCTGCTGTAGCAATGGATTGCGAAGAAGGCACACCTCAGTCCCCGCCAAATGTCGAAGTAATTTCAGAAGTAGTCCCGACAATTGTTCCTCAAGCAGAGAAGCAGGCCACAATTCAGGAAATGGATTGCCCAGCATCGACCACTCCGGATCCCAAGTCAATTGTTCCTCCAGTGGTCTCAGAAAATGGCACATCTGACACCGTTCCAGAGTCTTTAAATCCGCCTCGTTCTGGCCTGAGTTTACTGGCTGCCTACAGCTCCGATGCCGAGTCGGACTCTGAACAGGCCACCAGAATCGATGACAGCGACAACATGGTGGTGGAGGTGCCTTTGACAGGTCCTGCCACTGCTACCACCTACCGCCGTCCAGTGGTGGCTGTTAGCTCCGGGAGCGAAAACGAGAAAAGTAGTAGCAGCAGCGACTCGGATACGGAATCTGAAGGCGAATACCTGACAGTTTTGCGCAAGAAAATTGATAAGAAAATCAACACCGAAGACTGTGATGAAGACGATGAGGATTTCGACGAAGACGGTGCGACAGGGGAACGTCGCCGCCGGCAGCCACCCAAAGTGCGGGGTGAAATGCTGTTGGATGAGCTACCGCCCATCCACCAGTTGGAAATTACAGTACCAGAAGACGAGTGCATTGAGCTGGGGAAGGTCCATTCCATTGTCGATCAACTGGTGCTGGTCAGTGTTATCCCCAATTCGATGCTATTCGATCTGGACACTGTGCTGTTTCTGGAGAAAGGTCGCAAGGTGCTGGGCGAGGTTTTCGATGTGCTAGGACAGGTCTCCGATCCCCTCTACTGCGTCCGCTTCAATACTAATCAGCAGATCCAAGAGCGTGGCATCAAAATCGGTGATGTTGTCTACTGTGCCCCCAAAACAGAGCACACTCAATTTGTGATCCTCTCCAAGTTGATGCAGGTCCGCGGCTCAGATGCTTCATGGGAGCACGATGTGGAGCCACCTGCTCGCTATATCGACTATTCCGATGACGAGGCAGAGCGCGAGGCCAAACAGGATCAGCGCAAGAGGCGCCAGCGAGATCGCACCAATTCCACGGATTCGATTAGCTCTGTCTCTACGCAGGCCACTGAGGCATCCTCGGCTCCGGCACCATCTCCACGCCAGCGTGGACGCCGTGGGCAACGTGATAGCTATCAAAATCAGCGTCAGTATCAAAATCAATCCCACCAGGGATCCTCCCAGCAGCAGCAGGCACGGGACTCTCAGTACAATTATCATCCTAGCTATAATCCCGGCAGCTGGCACTCGAACTACTATCACAATTATCATCAGCCGGCGGCCAATTTTAATATGCCGCAGCCGGGCATACCTTATCCAATGCCGCCAGCAGCCTATGGCTATGGGATGCCCTATGCCATGCCACAAATGATGCACATGGGTCCGCCGCCCCCGCATCATATGTATGCACCACCACCACCGCCATCGTTTGCACAGCCACAGAACAGGCCACCACCGCCATCTGGAAGTTAGAGCTGGTATCTCTATCTACCTTCAAAATTCTGTGGATTCTCCTCTCTCTTTATTATTCCAATAAAAAAATGGTTCTTAAACAATTTGCGTGTATCGTTAAAAAGATTATTCTCTGGTTTGTTCGATAAAATGCATTTCGTATTTGTATAAAAAGGTACTTAATATTCTCTGTTTGTGGTGTGTATTGTGGGATCTCGATCTCATTGAATGTCGTTTGATAGGTGTAAATATATGTACTATATGCGTGGGAACTATATCTAAAATAATGTGTACTTGGCATTGCTTTTATAATACAATTACAACGGAAGCACTTAAGCGGCCGAAAAACAACTTCAAATGTATATATGTATATGTATAAATAGAGGCTTGCATTCTATACTAAAATATGCTATAAGTGTGCTAGCGTTTATTGTGCACTTTGTATATATTTTAACAGTTGCGTAAAGCCAAAAATCTTTTCATTAAAACGTATTTTGATTGAGCATATTCGAGCAACCAAGTGGTCCTTTAGAACCAGGCACGTGAGAATGTGACAATTAAAGGTGTGTTCGCACCAGTTCTGGATTCGTGTGGGAGAGAGCTTGGGGTACAAAAGTTACATAAAAATGATTTAATTGCTCTCTCTGAATCTTTCGCTGGGGGAAGCTTACAAGCTATTTACATTAAAACAAAGAAATAAGCAAAATAAACGAATCAACAATGCGGCTAACAATAATACAAAAAACAAAAAATAAACATTTACGCTGACGATTCCGTTCTCTCTACCTCTCAATCTGATGACGCGGTTTGAGCAAAACTATCACAGCGGTTATGTTGTCCTGCGAGTCCCGCTCCTTGGCCGCCTCGATCAGTAGCTTCGGAATGTCGTCTAGTTTCGTTGTCGGATCGGCTAGACACTCGTAAACAGTGTCGATGATGAAAGTCTCCGGAACATGATCCCACAGGCCATCGGTGCCCAGCACAAGGAAGTCATGAGCTTCATTTAGGTGAACATCTACGAAATCTGGCTCTGCTATGACCGTCTCCAGGCAGTAATCGCCAATGGATCGTGCCACATTCAAGATGCCATTCACACGCCACTGACCCTGGGCGTGCAGGACTGTACCGCCGGCGGCCTCTATGCGTTTGCGCTCATCGGGGGACTCGGGTTTGTGCGGTTTTACCAGCTGCAGCTGTGTGCGCTTGCCCACCAGCAGGGCCTTGGAGTCGCCCACCCAGGCTATGTACAGTTGATCTCTATTGATCAGTGCACAGACACAGGTCGTTCCGCTTGTGATGCGTTTTTGGATAAAGCGTTCGTCTGCCTGCAGGAAGGCCGTCTCAAAGGCATTCCGATAGAAGTCAGAGCTCTGGGTCTCTGTTTGTTGGTCCGCTTGCCTTAGCTGATCGGCCAGGAGTTGGGGCAACTGACTTCTGACATAACTGGCGGATAATGAACCAGAGTGTCCGTCAAAGACCCCGAAGAACCGACAATCCCTGTTGCGCAGCTCATAGATGGCACCAAATCGGTCCAAACAGACATGACGATCTTCCATTTTGCGTGGCTTGTTCTTAACGGCCGCGGATGTGTGAAGCGCCGTTTGGGCCAGTCCGCACATGCAATGTTCGGGACTTTGGCAGATGACACCCTCGTCGGCATAGTTCTTTAGCCGTTCCATCTCCGAATTGTCGGTTAGCTTTATTAGCAGCTTGTCCATTTGATTGCTGACAAACTTCTGCAGCTTCAGCAGATCATATTGCGTGGGACCCTCGACAGAGACTTCACACTCCTTTGCGTAGCATATCTCCTTCTCCAGCAGCTGTGTGGCCTGGTGGAGCAACTTCAGGCGGAAGACCGCCGGACAGCCTCTGGAATTCAGCTGCTGCCAAATTGCAGCCACCAGCTCAGCGTGGCGCTCCTCGACAGACACCTTGTAGGTCTCATTGCAGGTCCGCGTTACACAATTTCGCGTCAAATCCTCCGTGGTGGCGGATGCTTTGGCGGCTGTCGAGGCCAGAAACTCCTTGAATTCCAACATATGAGCGCATTCCGCGGCAGGTGCTGCTGGCTCCTTGATCGAGTCGGCCGACATAATTGGGTCAAAAGCGTGGGCCCAGCTACTGTTATTGCTTACTGCCGATCATGTGTTAATTCGATTAGTTTAATTGTTGCTTAACTTAACGATGAATCACTTAATGTTTACGTTCTTCTACTAGAATTTGTTAATGTATTATCGATGTATCGATATACTCGAATGGCTCGAGTATTCGATTTCATTTTATTCACACCTGCCGGCGCTCAGCTGTTGCTTTTGTTTTTGTTGTTGCAAAGCCATTTTCATTTTTAAGTTAAAATGTTCAAACATTAAAGTTTTAATTTTAGTTTAGTCAAAAATAATACATAATATCAAAATACAAAATGTCTGCGTTGGAGGCTCAGTCCGAGGAACGCGAGGCCCTGCAGTCCATCTACGAGGGCGATGAGAATTTCAAAGAGGTCGACGCCACCACATTTCAGTATAAAGTAAGCCACATGGATATTATGGATATGAGAGCCAAAGAATGAAACTAACTATATCTTTAGTATGGGGAAGAGAACAACTACAGGTCGTTTCTGGTGGAGCTCAAGTGGGGCGAAAACTATCCGGAAGAGGCCCCCGCGGTCAATATGAACACGTTCTACAACAGGCATCTGTAAGTAGTTCTGCAGATTCATCCCCAGAGTAATCATTCTGCAATTTTTCATTACCTTACCCAGGTTGCCAGCTGTCAAGGAGGAGATCCTTAAGGTTATCTCCGCGGAAGCATCTCAATGGCTAGGCTGTGGCATGACGTATAGCCTTTTCGAATGCCTTAAGGACAACATTGACCAACTGACTGCCGGCCAGCCGGAGTCTGCCCCCGTTGTAGCGATCGTGGATGATGGTGTGGCTGCTTTGAAAATCTCCGATGCTGATGCCGATGCCAAGAAGAAGGAGCCCAAGAAGGAGCAAATGACCAAGTCTCAGAAGCGCAGGCAATGGGAGAGAACTGATCACAAGGGTGATCGTGTACGTGGCTGGGATTGGGTGGACCTTGTTAAGCATTTATCGCAAACGGGCAGCAAAGAAGACTCGGCAGCAGCCGCCGAAAGCGCTGCGGCAACAGCGGCAGCCTCACCCGTGCTGCATCCTCTGAATAATTAAACAAATTAACTTAAGTACGAAAACAACGACAACTTAAACAGCAATCAAAAGCCAGTCCTACGTAAATATGAACAAATGTGACGAATGTCTCACTTTTGGCCACAAAGCATGGATTTTATAGTTATTTGTTCAACTATTAAATAGAAAAAAACACTACCTCGACCAATTTGGCATTTATATTTAAGAATATGGATATAAACGATGTGAAATGGCTGCAAAAAGTAAGCCATTGCTCTACAATAATTTTGATATGCTCCTCAAGCTGGTGGCGGAGCGATTAACCAAGAACTCTATACGAACGCCTATTCCTCCCGATTGCCGCCTGTTCCTGACATTAAGGCAGGCCGCTAGGCCGTCAGATCTAAAAAAATTAGCTAAAGAAATTTCTTTTTAGGTATTTGGACAGTGGAGAAGGCACCGGGCGTCTGGCAAAGTCCTTTAAAATGGGCCACTCAACCGTGCGTGCGATAATTCGGGAAGCCTGTGACGTGTTGTGGACACCACTGTCTCCCACCTTTCTGTCCCAGCCCAAAAAAGATCTTTAACAGATTCGATATTGGTTTGTCTTTTATACCTGCAAGTAGGGTGGATTGGCCCGATGAATTTGTATCCCAGCTTTTTGGGGATCACATGCTTGCAGAGATGGGTCCCGGAAATGAAGAGAATGCCACCTATGGCTATGCCTTTATAGCCAGCTCTGCTTTTCCCGCACGCTGGCTACGCTGTGGGAAAAGAGATCAACAAATAATAAGCTCGGCCATCCAGATCCCATTAAGGATATGATGAGCAAACAATCTTCGGAACCGAGTATATTTGAGGCTTTCCTCGTTGGCTTAGACTAGAATCGACCAATATGATATGATAGATCTTGGATTAGAATTAGAGCTTATGAACGAACGCATTTATGGGAAAACTTTATTGAAAATCATAATAGCAAAGTACACAAGTAATAAAATCATATTTAAATACAAAACTCAAGATCAAATCGATTATATGGTAATACATTGTTTGCAAGGTTCAACATTCAAGGGATAACTAGTGGTAAAAACGTGGATTCTATGTCTCGGTCCTGTATGGCCAACAGCTATTGGACCGTTTCTTAATTGATCACGCCCTCTGCACGTACGTTCAACGCATCCAGCAGGGCACCCATGGGAGTAGATGGACCAAAACTCTCGATGGTGTTGGCCAATTTATTCTTCATGTTGCGTAGACGCAGTGAGGCGTGTATGAAAGTCACCGAAATGGGCAGCAGCAAGGTAAAGGCGGTCAGCAGCACGGCGCTAATCAGGTGCAAAAAAAGATAACCGCCAAGCAGAGCACCAGCCAGGATGTACCATTTCTGTTGAGCGTTTTGTTCGGCCACAATTGCATTGCCTCCCGTCAGACGGCTTGCAATGAAGCTGGGCTTCGATTTGCTGCTGAAGAATTGCCAAATGACGGCGATGATCAAGGCCTGCACAATCAAGCCACTGATTATCTTGGTTGGATTGCACACAATCATCAGCGCGTAGATGACCAGGAAGAGCAGAATGTAGTTGGTTTGGTAATAGAGCAAGTTCTTCACCACGCGATTGCCCCACTTGTCAAAATCCTTCAGGTTGGGCAACTGGAAACGCGCCGATCCGAGCACGAAATCGTCCAGGGTACGCAGTGGGGCCAACTGCAAGTTCCCAGACAGGGCGGCAGCGGCGTCGCTCACTGAAGCTGCAGTTGGTGCTGACATGGCCTTTGAGTATTGACTGAGTTTTCTGTTCTTGATATTATCGACCTCTTCCGGCGACAACTTTTTGTATGCAGACTGACGCACTCCACGGGTCAATTGATGCAGTTCTTCCACGTTAAACAGCTGAGACAGCTGCTTAATTTTTGGCCGCAGCCCGGAATCACTCGATTTACGACTGCTTTTCGGCAAGAGACGCGACTTCTCGTCTGCGTCAAACCAATTGTAGCGCTCCTCGTGGTCACTATATTCCTCCGCACCTAGTCGCTCCAGCGTAAATCGTTGAATTTTCACAAGAGAATTTGTGTGACGAATTTTCGTCTGTGTGGCTACAGTGATTTCATTTATGACAATTTCTTGATCGTCGAAAATGAATTGTATTTGCTCGATTTTGATATTCCGCTTAGTATTACTAGCTAGCTTTAAGCCCTAAAACTGAACATATGATTTTATGCAATAGTCCAATCAATTTTCGACAAGATTGATCTATTTCAAATACTCCTTTTTATTGTATTCTTTAGAAAATAAGGTTTAAACAAATAATGCCGACTACCAAATTAATTTTGAAAGTGGTAACTACACATTTGCTACATGGCAACTACACAGGGATGAATTTCTCACGGAGGCACCTGTTTAAAACGTGTGTGTCATATTACTACACTGGTAATTTGAACAAACAGTTTCAAACGGTTTTAACTATTTCCTTTAAACAAGACTTTTTCTCAGATAAACATGTTGTTTTTTACCTATTAATGCAATTGTAAGATGGCAATAAAAGGAAAAACAGTTTTTGTATTTGATTTTGCAGTTTATTTTACTGAAATTTTGAAATTTAAATTTTTATGGCGAATTTAAAGTAAATATGATTGTGAATTTTTTCAGAAAATCTCCCACTTTCGTTGAAATTCACAATCAAAGTTACGACTCTTGAGATTGGGAATATGTTTTTGGAACATTGAATAAAATGCATTTGTGCTGTCACATTTTGAGGGATTCTTGTACTCCTTCTGTTGCTGCTGCCCCCCATCGCACTGGGAAGGAACGGTTAAGCCGCTGGAAGATGTGAAACAGTCTCCAAATCGCGGCCTAGAAGGCATTGGCGGATCTGGCAGTATCCGCACACTGCATGTGTCCTTGGCAAAACGGGCACTTGAATCGTAGAGCACCTGAACCTCGTTACGGTCATCATCAGGGGGACGTTCAATATTACAGAAATTAACTCCCGGCTTGAGACTCATAATATTAGCTCCTGCATATGTTTTGGACATAGCTAATACTACATTCTTAGCCGGTTGGGACTGTTCCGGAATCCGTTGATACTCGTAGGTTTCAGAAGCGGGGTATTTCTTTAAAAAGGTTTGAGAATTTAAATTCAGGAATTTATATTTTTGAATTGGTGCTTCAGATTTAGTGGTTTTGGTGTAGCTCAGACTTTCCTTTGATGTTCGTTCTTTTGGTTCACGATTTCTCTTTTCCGCTTTTTCTTCGCGTTGTTCTTTGTTTTTATTTTCCTCGTTTGGTTCTTTATCTTTCTTCGCACACCAACTGAAAAAACCTCTTGATTTGGACGGTTTCTTCTCTCTACGCCGATCTTTCGGATTCTTCCCTGGAGTTCCTTTCGATTTCCCAAATGGATGTTTTTGCTGTCTGTCTGGGAGACTCTTATTTTGTTCGGTTTGTTCTGTTGTAAGCTGTACGGTCTTTACCACTATCCTGCAGTTTGGACATTTGGGATTTGGTTGGCATATTTTTGAAGCAGCTGCTTTTTGATCCGCTTGATATTTCAAATAGGAGCACATAGGCTCCTGCTGGCATATCGACTTGGCGGCCTCAGCAGCTGCGGCTGCTTCGGCTTTAGCCGTTCTATATTTGTCAAAGTCCTTTAATATTTGCTGATCGTAGCTATTCAGTAACGGCATTGTGATAAAACTCTTCCGTGTATTCCTCGTATAAGGTCGCTTTTTGGGCTGTAGGTCGGTGTCTGTGGTACGACTAATCTCTGTTGGATATTCAGTTCTCCCTCGGGGCTTTTTCGCTGATATAGAGTTCTCTGTTGGAGATTGAGTTCTCCCTCGGGGCTTTCCCGTTGATATAGAGTTCTCTGTTGGATATCGAGTTCTATCTCGGAGTTTTTCTGCTGATTTAGAGTTCTCTGGTGGAAATCGAGTTCTATCTCGGAGCTTTTCTGCTGATATAGAGTTATCTGGTGGAAATCGAGTGTTGACTCGAAGTTCTCGCTCAGAAAGAGAGAAGGCTGTTCTTCCTTTGGAATGCAGGCATAGTTTATAGTTCGATTCTTTTTCTTGTCTGATTGGCATATACTTGCAGCCAGAGGTTCTTCTCACTAGAAAAATGTTCGAGCGCTTGTTAGATTTAATGCCGAAAACGGGACAGTGTGATACAAGTTTATCCCGAACCTTCGACATGGCACGTGTTTTGAAAAATTTATCCGCCAAATGCGGCTCAAAATCGGATTTCCATGAGAAATTTGTAGGATTGGGTGAATTACTAGGAAAAATATGATCATCACCGTACCGAGTGTGGGAGCTTTTAGAGGAACTTGAATAAAGAGTTTCTCTCCCATCTTTGCTTTGGCCCATTACAAATTGCTCATAGTCCTCTACCCGTTTGATTTCTGGTCCATGGTCGAAGCTGTTCTTCTCTGGTTTTGTTCGCTTTTGATCGGTCTGAGTCGCTTGGTGGGAAAACCCTTTAAATTTCCCTTTATGTTAGAATATGTTACTCGCTTACTTACGTGTCCTGTCTGCTTCCATTTTTCCATTTATTTTGTCTATATATTTAAGAATTTGCTTGGTCTCTGGACGCAGTGATTCGCCGTTTATAAAAGGTATTGATGGTTCAGTGATATTTGCGGCTCCACCACACATGCTTTCGGGGTAATAGCACATATTACACTGAAAGGGATCGAATCCCCTTACCCCATTTTGGACTGTATATGTCCAATTGGTGGCTGCGCTCTCATAGCAGTTGTCCACATTGGTATCGATGATATCTGAGCTTTCACTCGAGCGATCCCTATCTACTAGATGACTTGTTGAGCCGCGCCCACGGGCTCTCTGCTCCATTTCCAGACCCTCCAGAGCCTTTTGTAGGATCGCAATAATCCGACTCATATCGCACTCACCTATCCCCGAATTATTTTTTTTTGGTACTTTCGTAGATGACTTTTTGGGACTACGAGATGATGTTTGAGTGCATGCCTCCGAGTATTTACACCCACAATTAGGGCGGCCACAACCACATGGCCCCTGCTGTTGTGTCGTTCGCTTGGTTGTAGACCCTCTACGACTTTGATTGGTAGACCTGCCAACACTTTGGGGATCTGGAGACGTCGTTAACTCGCTTTGAGGGGAGTCTGGAGACCTGTTTGGAAAATCCTTCGAAGTAGGACTTCGGCTTTGTCGCACTATCTTAGACTGGGATGTTTGAGCGAATGCCTCAACGCATTTGGGATCACAAGTTTTGGTCACTGGGCAAATGCCACAACTGTTGGTTGCGCCTCGATTAGGATTATCGGTTGATGCCTTATTAGTTTCAGCAGCGGTAATCAGTGGCTTTGAGGTCACAGTGGAGGCATCCGCACATCGTCGACACTTTCGTTTGCATTTGGGGTCTTTGCAGGCATCCGTTCGAGGTTGCCTGGAAAATGAATTGATGGAATGCACACTATTCTTTTGCGAAATCATCTGAGATGTTTTCTTGCGTAGGTTTTCAGCACTAGTTTTCACGGGAATAGCCTCCACACTGCTGTTGCCATACTGCGTAGGCTTTTCTCTGTGGGTACCACGTCTCTCGGAGTTGCCTTTGTCTCGATTCTTACTGGTTTTTTCAATTGCATTGCTCTTGCTTCGACATGGGCTGGAATCTGTAGATTTCGTAGATGCTCTTCCGTAATCAGTGGGTCCTCGTGACATTGCTTGACTATCAGTATTTAAAGAAGCATGGACACTGCCTCGATGTCCTCGACTCTTGGCCTGTGTCTTTCCTGTATTTCTATCTAGACTGCATAAACTTTCTTGTTTTCGTTTGTCCCTCGTTTTTCTGGGTGGACTTCTTGGCTCGTTGCTTGCACTTGACTGAGATGATCCACGAGAAATTGGTGTGTGCCTTGCGCTATTTTTCTTTGAGGTTGCCTGGTTAGTTCTTCTGCTGCTGCCTTCGGTGACACGAGATTCACACGTGCACGAGGTTCTTTTCTTGCCCCCTTTGGCGCACATGCAGTCTTTCGAGCAACTACTACCAGGAGAGGAAGATCTCGCCGTAGACTCATCATAATTGTAGGACTCAGGATATGACATGCGGTCTCGTGCCGAACAGGACATACAGTCTTCGACAGCCGCGTCGTGTATATACTTCTCTATGTCCCTCTCAGTGGGCAATTTCATTATCCAACGGCTGTCATCAAGCTTACCGCCAGTACCGCGCCGTAGCTCAGTGATTGAGTGATTTTGGGAGGTAGCTAGTTCGAGACTCACATCCGATGGCGTATACCCCCCATAGTCGGTAGGATCGCACTTTCTTGGGGTTTTGCTTGTGCTTTGCCTGGCAGTGGGTTTTGCTCTGGCCGACTCGCGCGAATGTTTCATTTCCTCGCCACTGTAATGTCTGTGCCTTGTTTTTCGTATCCTCAAACTATCCTGACTCGTCTTGGATGGACTCCTGCTTCGCTCAAGAAGCTTTTCCCCAACCATGGACGTAAACATATGCTTAACGGACTTCTTCACTGGCTTGTGCTTGAGTAGCTTGGGTTGAAATAGTTTGGGCATCGTCTGAGTCTGAGCCACGCACATCTCGCGTGGCTGGTTTGTCCGTCTCTGCCGCTGTCGTCTGGCAGCGGCCCTCATGGAACACTGAACGGAATGGTCGGATTTGAGGGGCGTGCTCAGCTGATGGTCGTAGGGCGTGCGATTGAGACGCGTACAGTTGGTAACCTCCGCCAGGCTGTTGCTCGTCTCCTCGGCTTCCTCCTCACGGTTCCGGACATCCAGAGCCCAGGTGGATGGATAGGCAGAGGAACTGTATCGTGATCGACTGCTACCCCTGGAAGGTGCACCGCCCAGACTAACGCCGGACTTACCTTCCATCCAGTGGGTCCTATATATACCATCTGTCGGTGAAAGAGAATTTAATGATTTCTTCAGCCAAAACTTTCAAAACTCACCAGAAGTTTTGATTTTCCTCCAAGAACGGGAATCAGTCTTCAGCAGGGGATACACTTGGGCATTCTTTAGGGTTTTCGGTCTAGATTGAGATTTGGGTCGTCTGTCCGATCTCTCGCGACTCGATTTAGATCGGGAAAAGGTACGCTGCATGGCCCTCACCCGTTTGGGATCCTTCGCCAGCGAGGATAGCACCGTAATGCCAGTCTTTGACAAGGGACCCAGCGGTGTGGTTGTTTCGGTGTCACGGCCATTACGGACACCCTTGCTCAGAGCCCGTCGCAGAAGTATTTGCTTGGCCGTACGCCGTTTCCTTATATAATCATTCATTGTTGAGGCACATAGGAGCAGCACATCCCAGTTGAGCTGCTGGCAGCATTCTGTAGACAGCTAGCGAACAGCCATCCAAAAATCGATTAGGAAAGATTTATGTGGGTTGACTGGGTTTTTTTTTTCTACCAGCAACAACCACCATAGTATGTACCACCGCAACCGGAGGTGTAGCATTTCTTGTCCACCGGATAGCAGCAGGTGTTGACATATGGAGACGGTGGACATCTCGGCGTCGGGTTCAGTACAAAGGGCGGACTGGCAAAGCGATCGTATCTGGGGCGCTTCTTCTTGGAACATTTCTTATTGATTGGAGGCCCGGCCGCATTGGGAATGAGCTCCCGCAGTGTCCGATCTAGATTACTCGAATCGCAGGCGCACACGATCACCGCATCTTTAAGATTGTCAATAATCACTCCCACATCCGATTCTTCGCCGCTACGAGCGGCCCTTTTATCTCTGCTCTTAGATAGTCCCTGGACAGCTTCCGATGAGTGGAGTTTCTGTGGAGTCCGGACATCCTCCGACGAGTAGCTCTGAGGAGTCTGGACAGCTCCCGTGGAGCCTTTTTGAGGAGATTGAAGAGCTCCCGACGAACGGATTCTCTTAATAGCCGTAATCTGGGCCGGAAAAGAACACGTGTATTGGGTTCCCGGTTTTCTCTTAGGGCTGCGAACTCCCTTCCCTCGTTTTGTCTGGGTTCCCTTCAGGTTGGGGTTTTGAAAATCCATCAAAGGACGGGATGTTTGAGTAGCCAACGAACAATTAGGATCACAAATTTTGCCCGCCGGACAAATTCCGCAGATGCTGGTTGCTGCATTGGTTTTACTTCTTATTAACGACTGACTTCCTTCCCTTGAAGACATCCTGCTGACGGTCATAGTGGACGCATCCGAACATCTGTGACACTTGCGCTTGCATTTGACATCACGGCAGTCGTAGCGTTCCACCGCATCACTGTTGCTGTTGCTGCTACTCCGACCGTACTTTTCCCTGTGGCCATTACTCTCGGAGTCGCTGTTGTATTTACTGCAATTTTTGTGGCTACCTCTTCGATTTCTGGTCTTGTTTCTGTGTCTGTTTGGGGAGGAGTTCGAACTTCTGGATCTTTCTGCTTTGTAGGTCTCACTGGCTCTCCTGGAATTTTGGGTCTCACTATGTCTCCTGGAATTGGATGCCCTATGCCGTTTTCTTTCCCGTTCTATAACATAGTTGGATTCCATTTCATACTTCCTTCCTTTACCACTGGCATACGAATAATCTGATCTTTTACCCTCAGCTGTGCGCTCAATTGGACAAATCCGCCTGTCACGCCTTAAATGCGCCGGGCCATCAGGAGTCAGATTTCCAGAGTTCAGTGCTGGCAAACATCTATGACACTTGCGCTGGGCCGAGGTGGGAAGTGTACAGGATTCCCACATTGGACATTTTTCTGGGACTCCTCTGGAGGCGGGTTTGCTCGGTTTGCTATTAGCAGCTATTTGCTGGCCTTGGCAGCGGCATTCGTTGTCCCTCCTTGATGGGACTGGGGAATACGAGTCTCTCAGTCCCATCGATTTATGCCATTCGTTCTGTTGACTATTCCTTCTACGAAATTCATTTCCAGCACGAGATTCAACTTCGCCCCTGGTGGAATGGCTTGGACTTTCGCGTTTCCTTGTGCAGTACATAATAAAGTGGGACACATCGGGCAGCATGTTCTGGGGTTTTTGTCTTTCCCTGGCTTCTTCCATTTCGTATTCGCTCTGCATATCGTTGTCATCCTGAGAATTTGCAATTGGGTTAAGATCCCAATCTGATGCATTGTTCTTCCTTATATAGTTCATTTCGCTGGGTATTGGCTCCCTGAACTTGTCTCGATTATTCCGTTCGGATATACCTGGCTGCATGCTCTGGCTGCTTCGTCTTACCCTGGCTTTTTCTACTGGGCAGGGGCACCGCCTATCGTTTCTATTCTGGGCATTTCCGTTTGGTCTATTCGAATCTGATCCTTTGACCTTCCTTATATAGTTCATTTCGCTGGATATTGGCTCCCTGAACTTGTCTCCGTTGTTCCTTTCGGAAGTATCTCGCTGTACGCTCTGGGTTCCTTGTCTGTCCCTGGCTTCCTCCATTTTGCATAAGCACCCCTTATCGTTTTGATCCTGGGAGCTTTTATTTGGTCTATGATTCAAAGCAGATCCTTTGGCCTTCGTTTGTCGGGCTATTGGGTCCTTGGACTTGGCGCGAATTTTCCCTTTGGATATGACTGGCTGTATGCTCTGGTTTCTTTGTCTTTCCCCGGCATCTTCCATTTTGCATAAGCACCCCTTATCGTTTTGATCCTGGGAGCTTTTATTTGGTCTATGATTCAAAGCAGATCCTTTGGCCTTCGTTTGTCGGGCTATTGGGTCCTTGGACTTGGCGCGAATTTTCCCTTTGGATATGACTGGCTGTATGCTCTGGTTTCTTTGTCTTTCCCCGGCATCTTCCATTTTGCATAAGCACCCCTTATCGTTTTGATCCCGGAAATTTTCATTTGGTCTATGATTTGAAACTGATTTTTTGATCTTCATTCCGCTGGATATTGTCTCCCTGGACTTGTTTCGACTATTCTTTTCAGATATTTTCGGCTGTATTCTCTGGGTTCTTTGAGTTTCCCTGGCTTCTTCTATTTCGCATTCGCACCCCATATAGTTTTCATCCTGGGAACTTTCATTTGGTATATAATTCGAATCTGATCCTTTGATCTTCATTTGGTCCCTGAACTTGCTTCGATTATTCCTATCGGATGTGTCTGCCTGTATGCACTGGTTTCTTTGCCCTTCCCTGAAATCTTCTATTTTGCACAAGCACCCCTTATCGTTTTCATCCTGGGAATTTTTATTTGGCCTATGATTCGAATTTGATCCTTTGATCTTCCTGGACTTGTCTTGATTGTTCATTTCATTTTGATCTTTGATCTTCTTTGGTCTGGCACTTTTACTGGCTGTACTTTCATCCCTTGGTCCTATGATCTTCTTCGATTTACTGGATTCCCTGGACTTTGCTGGACTAATCTTTCTGCTGTTTTTACTCGTGGGACCAGCACCAGCACCTCCAGAACCACCAAAAGCACCAGCACCTCCAGAAGCACCAACAGCACCAGCAGCACCAGCGGTTCCAGCGGTTCCAGCACTTCCAGTCTTGTACGTCACCTTACTGTCCAGGTCTTTGCCTTTTCGTGGAGGAGTTTTTGGAGGAGCTTTACCCTGTTCTCCATCTGTTTTCTTGGCTTCGTTGGTTGGGCGTTGGCAGCCCCCACAAATCGAACATGAAACGGCCGCGACCATTAAAAATGGATTGTCTTCTGGGACTGCACTGCACGAGTTCCCCTCAGAGCCACCATGATTGGACAGATTGTGTTCACAATTTATTTTGTTATCCATTTTTGGAGCCAAGAGGAGCAGCAGTAGTACATCCCAGTGAGCATTTGTCAGATGTGTCAACAAAAGAAAAACCACCCCAGACCACTTTCTAGGGTATTCAAAAATGTTCTGTCGTTTTTGTTTTGTCCTATGATTGGGTTTATTTTATGATTTCAGAAGCTAGAGAAGCATCCAGAGCATCACCAACAACATGGACAGCAGCAAGCATGACTGTAGTCGCAGTTGTAGCAGCTCCTGCCCACCGGACAGCAGCAGGTGTTGCAGCTATACGCCAGGCAACGCGGCCTGGGGTTCAGGACAAAGGGGGGATTTGCAAAGCGATCGTATCGGACCGTTGGACCAAGGCGCTTCCTCTTGCGTCTCTTCTTCGGGGCGTTGAAAAAGCACGTACAGTCCGTATTGGGTATGAGGTGTTCCAGCGTTCGCTCCAGATTGGTCATATCGCACTCGCACAGGACCTCATCGTGCAAATGAGTTTCACTGTGACCCGCCAGGCAGCTGCAATGTCCTTGGGGATCGCAATCACACGTGCGGTTCACATTGTCTTCGTCGTCCTCGTCGTTCTCCTCATGACAGTCGCAGCACACACAAGACTTTGCATTGCCATGGGTGATGCACACGGGAACTGTGACATAGCGATAGGTCTTCTTGCCTGGCACAATCACCTCCTCCTTCTGGTGAGAGCAGGTCGTTTCCTTGCTGAACGGCAGGGGATTGTCGGGAGGCGTTGACGTGACCTTGCTGCTGACCCATGCTGACTCCGTATTTTTCCCTCGGGATTTCTCGACGTCTCGAATTTTGTTGGTATTTTCGTTGCTATTTTTGTTGGTATTTTCGTTGCTATTTTTGTTGCTATTTTCGTTGCTATTTTCAAAGGTTTTTCTGGATACCTCCCGGTCGCCGTCCTCGCAATGGCAGTTCCTGTGACTTGGTGGATTACTTTGCATATAGCGATCATTGTCACTTACGCACATACATCGTTTACTCTGGTTTCTGCTATTTTCTGAGATTCCATCATTTCCTCCACCGTCCTGTCCACATCGACATCTGGATACTTGTCCACGGTCTCCTTCACGCTCTTCATTTGTTCGTCGAGAACTTTCACTATTTCTCCTCCTTTGGAGTGACAATGATGGACATTAGTTCTCCTTTTAATCAATTCAGATCTTACCCACGAGGAGGGGGTCCCCCTCGCCTGCATCGAATGTGAATGGTATGTTGTTATGCTTTAAAAATCGTCAATCGGGATTCCCACACACTTACCAGCCTTGCGCAGGTGGAGGTGGAGGTTGACGATAACGGTCATCGCCTTGGAATGAGTCTCTCCGATCCCGGGGGTCTCCTCTATGGCTTACATAAATTAAATAATAGTCGAAAGATTTTAATGTGAATCAAAAATTCTTACCTGCGTTGCTGAAACGGACGATTCTCCCGGTAGCCGTCGCTGTAAAAGGAAAGTTTAAGATATTTAGATGATTATTTAGAATAATTAATGGAATGGACAGTACTCTGGGTGCAAAATGATGGCTAATCAATGTTATACCTATTCATAAGATAGCTACAATAATTTGCATCATATCTAACCGATTTAAACTGCGTTTAACCCCTATTGTTTATACCCCCATTGGTATAAAGTTCTCGGGCATTCTCTTTTGAAGCATTCGCTCGAGTCGAGAATCAGTATGGGAGCCACCACTTGCTGACATGAACGATGACTTTGCGGGTAGATACTCTTAGAGATCTTTAAAGTTAACGACTCTTCAGGCAAATGAACAGACGGGACAGATTTGATTATCAAATGGTTCTAAAGCTACGAGTATTACAAAACTCTTGACTTCTTACTTGCGACGACGTTCCATGCCATAGTTTGGGCCAGGTCCATATCCAGGATACTGACCATAGTTTGGACCAGGCCCATACCCTGGTGGTCCTGGTGGTCGTCCATATCCAGGTGGTCCTGGTCCAGGTCCATAGCCAGGTGGTCCTCGTCCAAGTCCAAATCCAGGTCCAGGCGGCGGATTATAGTAGCTGCGCCAGGGGAGTAAAATATCAGTTCATGATTGTTAATGGTATCCATCGTCTCATACTTGGGGGCTCCTCTGGCTGGACCTGGGCCGTACCCGGCTCCTGGAGGTGGATAGAACTGATTCTCTGGCGGTTTGCTACCAAAAACACAAACGCTTTATTCTATTTGAGTGCATCAAGAGCATAATGGCCGTACTCACTTGACAACAATCAGCAGGATTGTGGGTTGCTGTGGCTGTTGCTGCGTTTGGGAAGCCCCTGTCGGGTCCATTATCGACGAAGCCGCCGATATACCTTCGGAATTGGGACGAAAGTCACTTTGGCGGTCCGCCTCCAGCATGGTGGCATTGCTGTGCAACGATTCAATGGTCCTTATAGAGGTCCTTCTCGTTCCGACTTCACGTTTATCCATTTTAATCCTTTTCTCCTGTGACTCCTGTGGTATTGCCCGCTGTGCTAGTGCCTTATGTGACAGAGCCTTCTGAGACAGTGACAGTGCCTTTTGTCCCAGTGGCTGATTTTGCTGTGCCTTAGATGTATTTGACTTCCTTTTCTGCATCCGTTGCCGTTCCTCTTGTAGCCTTTGTTCTTCTGCCTGTTCTTCTTTTGCCTTTTGTTCTGCCTCTAGCTCTAACGCCTCCGGCCAGGGAACGTCTTCGGGTTTGCGTAGAACACAGGTTCGACAGCGACAAACCGATTGCTCTGGTGGCGCTTCGTCGTCACACAACATATCCCAATTTAGGATTCATCATGTGTATCATGATGAATGCGGCCGAAATCTGTCTAGTATTTGAATTTGTCGTGTGAAAAGCGAGAAGCTCTTTGACAGCTCTAGCAGGGATTGCTTAGAGCGGGAGAGAGAGCTAGCCCAACCACCATTCCGAAGGATATGGAAGGGATTTGCGTATACTGGACGGTGGACTCATCGACGGAGAACAGTTGAACTTTTTTGGGATACGCTTCTTCTTAATTGGGGTTTCCTTCAAGTACTTCCTCTTGATCAGGGGACCCTGACGGGGGGGTATCTGCCCATTGTCTGGGATTTCACATAGGGATATCCTTTTGATCTCGAAACCATTCGGTGTCGGATGACCCGTTCCCACTGATCTTGTGTTGGGTTTACTCATTATATCCTGCAGTTTTGGAACAACTTTCTTTTCGAACTTTACTTTTGTGAGACGTTCAAGTCCTGGCGCTGTGTTGCCCACAATTTCTTGTCCACTCTTCACGCGCCGAGTCTTAAGGGCGGACTTAAGTGGTTTCTTGAGTCTGCAGGCATTCAGATCGCTGGTGCTGACGGCCTTTTCCGCGGTGGCTCCGACGCAGACGCCAATGGAAGCTGAGCTCGTGATGGATTCGGTTTGAAGTCGCTTGTTTCTGGTATTTAACTTCTTCCGACGCTCCTCCATCGCTTTGTAGTGCTCCTGCTCCTCTTCCAGTTCGGCCAGACTCATGCTGGCACTTCTATACCAGTCATCCAAGCTGTCTGTGCTCTTCGGTTGCTCCTCCTGTTGCTCCTCTATGTAGGAGTACGTCAACTGGGTATTCCTTACGCCGCCTGCACTGCGGATATCAGACGTGGAGCTTGAAGTCATGGCGGCGCTGTCAATAGTGGACTGAGAGTCGGCATTTTCTATGTAGATGGAATTACTGCCCAGTTCGTATTCGTTTTCGTTCTGTGTCAGGAATAGTGGCGGTGGTGTTGTGGGTAAAGGTGGCGCCTGCAGAGGCAGGGTGTCCCCCTCATTTCTTTTATGAGAGGTTGGACTGCCACCCAGCTCCACATACTCACAGTAACCGCGACAACACGCCATGGGACACCACATGGTGGTGCCACTGTCCTTCATGCTCTTTTTGCTTGACTGCTGCTCAAAATGTTCCGTTTTAAGATGATTCTCTGTAATAGATTATTCTGGGTAAATGTGTTTGCGCATAAATAAAACTTATTGATATTACCTCCGCTATTAATATTGGTTATGGCCTCTAAAATCCTCGGCCATAGATCCAAATCTTCTGTGCTGCAGCCTTGATTGTGCAGGTGTATATAGGTGGGTTTCACCAGACGCTTACGCCTTCTCTCACGTAGCCAAGGCATTCGCACCACGCTAAACCTTGTCTGAGTGCTGGCTTCAGTAGACTCGACTGGGGGCAGACGACTGTTGTGGTTCGCTGCCATCATGTTACTTGGATGAAACAGAAGGCTATTGCTTTTCAATCCTTCCGAGCCCAACCCCATGTTATATGTTGGCTGCGGCTGCGACAGCAGATGTGGTGGTATCATGTAAGGGGACTTGTGCCCCCCAATCTCTCTCTGAGTGGAGATGAAGCTGTTCAACCTATAGATGGTGTCGCACATCATATCGGTCAGGAGTTGCATCTTGGACTCCTGTGGACCTCCTGACTCATAGTTTGGGTTTATCACACACTCCTTATTTAACTCTTTGTGGACTGGCTCCGATTCATTTGCTAGAAATTGGAGCAGACTGCTCTCCAGTGTACTGGCAATGACCTTCAGCTCGTCTACAGACGCGCTCTGGTGGCCTGAGCTGTTGACATTGGTAAAGAAGCTGCGAGGGCGATTATTTCGCTCAAGAGTGGGGGCATACTTCATGCCATATTCCTGGCCGGAGTTCATGCGCATCTGTGGACAGCCCAAATTCTGATACTGTAAGAAGGATTCCACTGGATCAAAATAGCCATAATGCAGGTCTCCTTTTGCCTGGTGTAGTTGCTGAGGCTGCCCATAGTCCATGGGCATCGACATCTGGGAAAATGGGTATGGGTAAGACATCAGCAGTTCCCTTCTCCTTCGCCGCCGCGGTCGCAGACTCGGACTGGAGCCCTTGGCCTCAATATTAACACAAACCTGACGTCGCAGAGTCGTGGTTTTGGTTGGTATTGGAGCTGTTGGCTCCAGTCTTTGTGAACGTAAGCGTCGCTCTAGCATCGCCAATGATCTGTTCATCACTCTCTAGCAGCAGTTGCTCTAGTAGCCAAAAATAATCAAATGTTTTACTTTGGAACTTTCGAATTTAGTTTTTTCTTTTGACAATAATTTTCAAATGAATTCCATTTCATTTTTTCTACAGTACTGTCAAAAATAATACAGATTTGACGTTGACGTGAGCGACTGCACCATCGATTGGCACAAGCGACGCCAAGACGAAGTTGGTTCGCGCGGATCCCTGGAAATGTGCAGACCACATACCGTAGACCGAGGGGCGCTGCTGCATGATGCGACACTTGTAACCGAACCGATCGAGTACATGCAGAAGGCATAGTATTAGGTATAGGGTGGTACATGGAATTATAGTCGATCTACAAAGTGGAATAAATAATGTAGCGTTTAGTGGATCAAATGGGGCGACTCAACATGTCAGGTCACAAGGATCATATTCTAAAATTTACGAAATAAACGAGACATAGAGTCCCCCCATTAACAAATAATATAGGGCTCATCAAATTCATTTGACAATCTCTTTAAAAGGGCGCCCCTATTACCCATGGTAGAAATTAGCTTGTAAATAGAGTCGCAAATCATAAAACTATACGTTTATATTATATACATATGTGTAGAGGTTAAATTTGACGAGAGCAACCCCAATCTTAAAGTAATCTAATTTTCTTTTAATCGTAATAGTAGTTTATTCGTTTGTTGAACCTTTTAGAAAGTTACGAGTACAACAATGAGTCATAGGATTTGTCAAAGTTATCAAAAATATCTAAAATGTAAATAATAACTATGGTGGATAGGTGATCTTCTCTCCTACTAAGGCTTTGGAACAATTAGCTTGTGGCGTACACTGGACCGGGCGTTTTTGTGTGCATTTGTGCCAGGTATCTGTTCGCGGAAGTAGGCCCACTCGTTCTGGTAGTACTGATACAGGGCCACCGGATCGGTCATGCGTCCTTCCTTCTTCGACTTAGCACGACGGCGTACTGAAAGAGGTGCAAGCATTATTATCTGGGCAATGGATAGCAGGAAATCGGTTTGGGGTTACCTAATGAGGCGCCAAGGCTGGAGCTACGCGGACGCGATTTGGAGCCACGATGACGACGAGTCATTGGATGATCCAGATTGGCCTCGGACTCTCCGCTGGATAGAAAAGGTGCGTTTTGTGCCGCCTTGCGTGTTTTGCTGCGACTGCGACGCTTGCTGAGCGGAGCTGAACTCTGGACAGGAGTTGAACTCTGGCTGGCATCAGGACCGGGTTTGGAACTACCCAGAAAGAGCTTATCGCGAAACAGACGAGCAATTTCCGACATGGCAATACCGCCAGCTAAACGCGTCTCACTCTCATCAGTCTTGGAATTTTTCTCCTTGCCTGCTGTTGCCTCAATTGTTGATGCTGGAGCGGCATTCTCCTTGTCCTTGTCTTTATCGTTCTCTCCTCCTAATTTGGCACGCGAGCTGACGGTGCCCCGTTTATGCAGCCTGCTGAAATTGTCGTCCTTTGGGCCCTCCGCCAGACGCTCCTCATACTTGATGAGTTTGCGCAAGTCTAAATGGGAATGGATGGGATCGGATCAGAACAAAGAAGTTTGGGATTTCTTAGGGATTATTGCATGTGCGGGATGATGAACGGAACGGGTGTATTCTGGAGCCCCCCTCTCCCCCTCATCTAAACCGATTCGATAGCTCCGAAAGGAGTATGCTTGAAAATGCATCAACTTTGGTTCCTTAAATCATATGACAGCTAGACCTTACTAAAGTAAGTCTATTCTAATATTGAATCTTATATTTCTATGCGAACAATTTCTTTGAAATCATAATAATAATATCGCTAGATCTTCCCTATTTAAATCATTAAAATAGTATTATCATTATTTTAGTAATACAAAAAAAAAGATTGTTTTTAAAAGTACAAAAATTTACACTTTCCCAACAAAAGATTCCTACTAAAAACAATTTTCATATGGCAAAAAATGATTATAATTGATCATAATAATAAAATGTCTCAAAAATCGGCCAAAATCTATGCAAAATATTCTATTCCATTATATATCCTATAGCATAAGTATATTTCTCCCTGAGCGTTTAAAATAATAATTTTAAATCTGTGCCTGTAATTTCCTTATTATTCCGACTATCATAAACAGAAAAAAAATGGAATACAAAATAAATAAAGAACTTCTATACTGATGATTGATCAAGAATACCTTTAGAAATACTATATTGGATGGGTTTACAGTAAATGCAGCATACAAATTGTGTATATTTTTTTGTTGAATTGAATATTTATATTTAATTTTACTCTTTGTTTTAATATTTTTTACAATTGCTTTTGGTTTTAGTTTTAGTTTAGTTCTTTCTCTCTTACATTATAGTTGAGTGGTTTGTTTGTGGTTTTGCCTTTTTCAACTTGCTTTTCTTTGAGCGTTAACGACAGACGACGTTTAATAAAACGAAATAACTATTTTTCAAAACGAAAAATGGAAAGTTTACTACTTAAGATCTAGAGACTGAAATGAGAGTGTTTTCCTTGGAATAGTCCGAAACTGTTGATGATTTTTTGGGGGCGACTTTAGAGGGCTCTGGGTCTGCATCGAGGAATTTGAGCTAAACTAAGATTTAACTAAGGCTTATGATGGTACGTATCTCTCTTCCTGTGTGTGTGTGTATTTTGGGGTTTGTTTCAGTTGGAATTATGCTAGCAAAGAAAGTGTGGTTTGAGGTCAGGTTAAACATATGATTGGATGTTGGATGGCCCTATAAAATATCCTACAAATGAAACTTATTTTCTCATCTTCGTTGGCTCTCTGTTTCTGTACACACTACAAGCTAAAAGTGATTGGATGTTATGGATGATGTATGATTGGATGTGTGCTCTCAGCGACGATATCGAAAGCGTCTAAAGGGCGCCCTCAGTCGACGACAGGTGACACGAACCTCCTTCTTGAGAAACTGCGAGATGGCCAGGGATTTCACAGCCGCTGTCGCCGCTTCGGCGGCACAACTGCTGGCCGCCTTGCCACTGTTCGGTGGCGCATACTTGGAAATGTCGAACTTCCGCTTGGGCGTCGTCTGCTGGTGAGGACAGTGCTGCTCATGCGAGTCCCCAGCCTGGGTGTTGCTCAGATCAAGATCCGTGTCCAGGCCATCCGAGGAGACGGTGAAGATGTCCGAATTGTCGCCGCCCAGCTTTTCGCTGGGCGATATGCAGCTACCCAAGCTGCCATTTAGCTGGGGAGTACTGCGACGCTGCTGGTGGCCTGTGCTCGGGGTGGAAGTGGCCGGATTCAGACGATGGCCATTATGGAGAGTGAGCAGCAGCTTCTTGCCGGGGCTCATCGGCTGTGGATCATCGGGTGGGGTAGATACAGAGATGGAGGGCAGGCGGGAACGCTTCTCGGGGGGTTCATCATCATCATCATCGATTGTGAGCTTTGGCTCCACCTCATGTGGGACTTGCTGCTCCTCGAAGGCATCTTCAAAGATATCCTCTTCCTCCTCGTCATCTTCTTCATCATCCTCCTCTTCGATATCCGCATCGGTGGCCTCTATTTCCGCTTCATCGTCCTGCTGCTCATCCACCGAATCCGCCATGGTCTCATCTTCATCGGGCAGACTGTCGTTCTCATCCGCTTCTGCTTCCGCTTCCGCATGGGGTTCTCCTCCCTGCTCATCCACGTCTGTGGCTGGTGGTGTCATGACAGCCTCTTCCCGGGCAGCAGCACCTTGTCCTCCATCGCCTTCCCCATCCTCGTCTTCATCCTCATCTTCTTTGCTCAGCAGCTTCTCCGCCATTGTGGTTGTTGTTGTGGTGGTGGTTGTAGTCTGCTCCTCCTCCGTCTCCATGGGCTCCTGCTTGATGGGTGACATCTCCCCCAGGCCCATCTTTTTAAAGTTGATCCTCTCATCAGGCATGGATCGAGCACCGAAACCAGCGCCATTACCGCAGCCGCGTCGCCTGTGAGTCTTGGGCCAACCCGTTCGATTCGTCTTCGACTTTAGGCTCTTCCGCTTGCGATAGTAAGTGGTGTAGAGATTTCCCATGCTGCCCAAGCGTCGACTGGTGCCAGACAGCTGGTTCCCTGCTCCAGTTCCTCGGCTGGCATCCTCCTCGTCATCGCCGCTGCCAGCACTGCCCGTCAGGAGATCACAGAGATCAAATTCGCTCGTAAAACAGCAATCCGTTGGGGGTGGCGTGTTCTGCGCACGCTCTGCTGGCGACAGTTCCTCCGTGGTGTCCTCCGTGTCCTCTATTTCCAGGTCGAACTCCTTGCCAGCCAACTCCAGATACTTGTCCAGCTGCCAGGCAACCAGACCAGCATTTTCATACTGCATGGCCTTGTCCAGAGCCTTGAAGGCACACGGCTCCATCTCGTACTCGAGCAGACCCTTCTTGCTAGGCAGCTTGCGCACTCCGCGCATTATTCCAGGCGGCTGCTGTTGGGGAGGACGCACGGCTGGATGGTTTTTCCTTTTGCGCTTGCCCAACAGCACGCTGGCGGAACACGCTTCACGTCGCGCGGAGAACTGCAAACGGCGGGCATAGCTGTGACTGAGACTGGCATTGGCCACTGGTGGCAGACGACGACTTCTGCCAGGCGATTCGGTTGCGGCTGCTGCCGGTTCAGGCTGGACTGGAACTACAACTGGTGCCGGGGCAGGTGGGGAATGATCGTATTTGTTCTGTCCACGCCGCATGCGTTTCACAGTCTCACTGATTTCAGTGGCAAACCGCAGCTCCTCGACGGGTGTGGCCGCCTGGGAGCGTGTGTTCCTCGGTGAGGCGGGTGCCTGTACCTGCTCCTGCTTTAAAGGCGTCTTCAGTTTGGGAGGAACTATAACTGGAGGCGGCGGTTCCGCCTCTGCCTCGGAGTTGGTTTTACTCTGCGAATCCTGACGCTGACGGATGATGCAGCTGACCAGGGCCAGGGTGGAGGCATGTTCACGCGGCGACTTCCTGGGCGGCAGTTCGGCCAATCGTGCCAGCTGCTTGTTGCGACAGGTCATGCCGGAACTGGAGCTGGACGTGCTCCTCACACGCTCAATCAGCTGGACACGATCTGTGGCAAATTCACGCTCGAGAAGCTCTGGAGTGCTGGCCTTGCTATCACATTTGGCTATGGCTATGGCAGTGCTTAATTGTGTCTCCTTCTGCTGTTGCAGCTGCTGCTGTTCCTGCTGGTAGCGCTGCAGCAGATGCATCTTCTTGTGCTTGTACATGGAGGACGATGACGAGGATGATGCCGTTCCTGGTTGGGCCTCCGTCTCCTCTTCCTTTTTGACTGGACTTTCACACTTCTGTGGTGCCTCCTCCTGTTTTTGTTTCTGCTCTGCCCGGCACAGGGCGCAACTGTGTGCCGGCAGCGTTCTAGCCATGGGTATAGGTCCCATCTCGTACGGCAGCTTGCGATACCTCGTGGAGCCATAGTACGTGTAGTAGTTCTCCTCGCCCGCATCCTGCCGCATGAACACCCGATTCCACAGCTCTCCATTCGGAAGGGACTCGAAGGTGTATTGCATCTTTCTCAGTAGCTCGCTTTTGCTGCAATCGAAGAACATATCCATGGCCGGTGGCTGTTGTCCGCCCTTCTGACCTTTTTTCTGCTTCGCTTTGGACTTTGGTGTTGTGGGGGGTTTCTGGCTCTTGCCCCTTGGCTTCTTAGCTTTGACCTCAGTCTGCAGGAGCTCCGTCTCTCCGGCACTGCGATTGATGGTCAATCGCGAGCGTCGTCGTTCCGCACGCTCCTCTCGTGTGTCGGAACGCGTTGGTGGTGTCGCTGTAGCCACCGCAACAACTGCTGATGGTTGCGGCTCCAGCTTATGGCGGCGTCTTCTGTCTGCCACATAGTCTTCATCGCTGCCCGAAGTGCAAGAGAATTCCTCATCATCATCATCATCGAGATCGAGATCCTCCTCTACTGCTTCTTCGGGTTCGATTGGTTCTAGTTTGATTTTAATCTTAGCTTTTGTTGCTTCCCCCATCCTATCCTCCAGTTTGACTCCGCCTCCACCTCTCGTCTGCCGCAGCTGCAGCTGCTGTTGCTGACTGCTGGTCGTTGCCGCCGTAACAATGGCGGTGGCAGTGCGACTGCTCTTCCTGGTGGCCGGCGGTTGCTTCACCTTAACCTTTAGCTCTGGCTCCGTCGCCGTCGTTGGTTCGTCGTCGTCTGGCTGGATGGGGGCGCTCGGAAAGCGCTGCTGACTGTTGCTACTGCTGCTCCCAGTGGATAGCTGACGCTGCAGCAGTGGCTGCTGTTCGGCTGCCGCGGCTGTTCTCCTTCGCCTGCCCACGGCCTGGGCACGCTTCCGAAGC